TCTGATTTTCTTCCTGTAGTTGATTTCTAGTTTCATACCTTTGTAGTCAGAAAAGATGCTTGGTATTATTTCAATCTTCTTAAATTTATTGAGACTTGTTTTGTGGACTAATGTGTGATGTATCCTGGAGAATGCTCCATGTTTTTGAGATCGTATCTAACCTCTTTTTTTATTCATATGTATCCATTACCCTCTTATCATGGAAGTAGATAATTTTGGTACTTTTGTCTTTTGACCTTCATATTAGCTTCATAGGTGGCTGATCTGCTACCTTTACTGTATATTTGCCTTTATCGGTGATTTTATTGCACGTTTTTTATTTTTTGATAATTTTCTTATTCCTACTTGTGGTCTTCTCTTTGCCACTTAAATAAGTCCCTTTAACATTTCTCATAAGCCTGGTTTCTTGGTGATAAGCTCCTTTAGTTTTTGCTTGTCTGGGAAACTCTTTATCTGTCCTTCCATTCTGAATGATAACTTGGCTAGGTAGAGTATTCTGGGCTGTAGGTTTTTTCCCTTTCATCACTTTAAATATACTGTGCCACTACCTTCTAGCCTGTAAGTTTTCTGCTGAGAAGTCAGCTGATAGCCTCATGTGGTTTCCTTTTCATGAACTTATTGCCTTTCTCTTGCCACTTTTAGGATTCGTTCTTTATCTTTAATTCTTGACATTTTAACTATTGTTTCTTGGCATGGACCTCTGTGGGTTTATCTTGGCATGGACCTCTGTGGGTTTATCTTGTTTGGTGCTCTCCATGCTTCCTGTATGGGGTTGTCTGTTTCCTTCCTTAGGTTAGGAAAGTTTTCAGCTATTATTTCTTCAAATAGATTCTCTGCCCCTTTGTCTCTCTGTTTTCCTTCTCGGACACCAATAATATGGATGTTAGTGTGCTTGATGTTGCCTCAGAAGTTCCTTAGACTGTCCTCATTCTTTTTAATTCTTTTTCTTTTATCTGTTCAGCTTGGGTGATTTCCTCGAGTCTTTCATCCAGCTCGCTGATCCGTTCTTCCGTATCATCTACTTTGCTTTGAGTTCCTCTAGTGAATTTTTCATTTCCAGGATTGTATTCTTCGTTTCTGATTGAGTCTTCTTTATATTTTCCAATTCTTGTGTGAAGTTTTCACTGAGTTCATCCATTCTTCTCCCAAAATCAGTGAGCTTCCTTATGATTCTTACTTTCTATTCTTTGTCAGGTAGATTCTTTATTTCTGTTTCATTTAGTTCTTTTTCTGGGTTTTTGTTCTGTTCCCTTACTTGGAATGTATTCCTTTATCTCCTCATTTTGCCTTTTTCTCTGTGCTTATATCTATGTATTAGGTAGGTCAGCTATGTCTCCTGATTTTGGAGAGGTGGCCTTATGTAAGAGATGCCTTATGAGGCCCAGCAGTGTGCTTCCCTCTTGTCACCAGTTCCAAATGTTTCAGGGGTGTTCCCTGTGTGGGTTACATGTGTCCTTCTATTGTGGCAGGGTTGCTCTTGCTTCAGGTGCTCAGAGAATCTAGACTGTTCCCCTGGTTGGCTGGTGGTAATGCTCAGCTGCTTGTGGCTGCTATGGACCCTTCAGTCATTTTATCAGGCATGGGGAGCCCCAGCACAGTTGGCCACAAAGTCTAATAGCACATTCCTGTTGCAATTTTTCTGGTAAGTCAGTAGGTCCGCAGTGTGGCTGGTTGCTAAATTCAGGGGCTTACAATCACTGTGGGCCTCTGGCCTGCAAGGCTGTTGTCAGCTCTCTCAGGATTGCAGCTGACTGAGGCCAGCCCCAGGCATGGGCGTACTTAACTGTTTCAGGCTTTGGAAGGTGGCACTGATCCCCTTTGTAGCTATCTGAGAAGCACAACTCTGCTGAAGCTGTCAGGCCCCACCACCCACAGGACCACACATTCCATCAACACAGTTCTGACCCATGCACATGCCCCGACCCACTGAAGTGGATCCAGTTGCCCCACTGTAGAGGCCCCACACACTCCACCAATGCAGACCCACGCCTCACACACACCCTGCCCTGCAGAGGTGGACCCACCTGCTAGGCTGCAGTGTTTCCAGGCACCTCACCTATTCAGGCCCACAAGTTGCCCAAGGGCTTGCTGTTGGGTGGGGCCAGTCCCCAGTGTGGGCTGCCTGCCCTGGCTGAGCTGGATTAAATCTGTGCTTCAGTGGGTGTGGCAGACCCCTGGGCTAAGTGGCCAGGGGAACTCCAATGGTGTGTGTCAGGGTCTGAGTCAGCACACCTGTACTAGGTCACAATAATGGCTGCCACCAATGTCTCAGTCAGTTTTTTGGTTTTAGAATTTCCATTTGGTTCTTATCAACAATTTCTAGTTCTCTGCTGAAATTCTAAATCTTGTGTTTTATCTCCTTCACTATAGCAAGCACAGTTATTTTAAAGTCTATGTCTGGTAAGTCTGATATCTGGAGCTCCCAGGGGTTTGTTTCTATTATCTACTTTTTTCTGTTAGTTCTTATTCTTGTTGTCTTGTCTCCTCATATACCTGGTTGTTTTTTTATAGTGTGTCAGACATACATTTGGAACAATAAAGACATAATTTAAGGCCTAGGATGATGTCATCTTTATCCACAGTATTTATCCTGACTTCTGCAGGATCGTGGGGCCTCTGGCAATTCATGGTTACCTGAGTCTGATTTCAGGGATTGGAATAGTTAGAAGCTGTACTGTAGTCCCCAGTGACCTGTCTACCTTTGTTTAACCCATTTGTCTAGGATGCAGTTCTTTGGAGCCTCAACCCACAGTGAGAGGGGCTTACCCCTTGACGAGGCCTGGATTCCATTCCCTGTCCCCTTAGCCCTAATTACCACTTCAGCTTCTTAGCTTCTTAATCTTCCCTTCTGGAATGAGCACACACTTGCAGGAGAAAATTGGCTTCAAAAGTTGGGCTTACCTACCTGAGCCTCAGTACTCCCCTGGAATCCGGCACTGTCATGCTTTACCATCTTGTTTGTGCTCAGATGCCTTCATAGAGATCTTTTCTGTATTTTGTCCACGTTTCCTAGTTGTCCTCAGTGGGAGTGATTGGGCTACATTACCTAGTCTACCATTACCTGAAGCAGAAATCATTACCCTCTATTTTAGCAAACATTTTAACCCCACACCAAACATGATACAATAGAATACAGTCATGTATCCCTTAATGATGGGGATACATTCTGAGAAATGTGTCCTTGGGTGATTTCATTGTTGTGCGAACATCATAGAGTGCACTTGTACAAACCTGGATGGTATAGCCTACTACACCTAGGCTATAGGGTACTAATCTATGGGACCGCCTTCATATATATGGTCCATCATTGACCAAAATGTCATTATGTGGTTCATGACTGTATTCTTAATTTATTTGTCAAGAAGTCAAGCTTTATCTTAAATGATTAATTTAATCAGCCTGTTACTTGATAAATGAGGGAAAAGACAACATTTTTCTACATATTATGTATATCATTAAAAGTTTTATTATACTTACATAATTCGTTATACTGCCATTCTTAACAGTATATTGACTAAAATAAAATCACTTATGATATAATGACCAAAAATGCTGAAATATTTTTTAAAACCCTAAGAGGGTCAAGAAATTGTATATTTCTATTAAAAGAGATTTTAGAGAATTCCTCAGTCAAAAAAGGAGGGGGATGCTAATTTTGGGCCTTGAATTTCATATTAAAGGGAGTGAGTACATAGCAGGATATTCAATATTGTCTTGTTTTAGGAAATCTAAGCCTACGGATAAAATAGCCTTTTTTACACTGAGATTGAAAAAGGTAGGAAATAGAATCATTTTCATAAAATCTTTGGAAGTTTTCTTTTGACCTTTCAGAATCTTTTAAAAAAGAATCTTCTGCAGCAAAATAAGGGGGTCAAAAGGTATAAACTTCCGGTTATAAAATAAATAAGTCATGAGGAAGTAATGTACAGCAGGGTGACTATAGATAACAATACTTAAATACATATTTGAAAGTTGCTAAGAGAGTAGATCTTGAAAGTTCTCATCACAAGAAAAAAAATTATAGCTATGTCTATGTGTGCTGACGCATGTAAACTAGACTTATTGTGGTGATCATTTCACAATATGTACTAATATTGAATCATGTTGTAAACCTGAAAGTAATATAGTGTTGTATGTCAATTATACCCCAATTTAAAAAAAAAGAGAATATTTTGGCTTACTTAGGTATTGGTAGGTGATAATTTTCCATAACTATGCTCTGTTTTTTCTTGAGTCTCTTCTTTCATTTCAATAAATCATAGAAACTATTTTAAAAAATTTAAATACCTTAATGTTCAATATTTTCTCTTGGAACTTTAGTTTCTTGTGAAATTAAAAATACTTGAAGAAAAAAGTTAAAAGAAAAAGAAAATTAGTAAGAGAAATGGTCACATTCCTCTTAGCAACAAAATTTAGTACATGATTAGAAATAAACATAAAAATAAATGTGTAAATAAAGTTTTATGAATAAAAAATTTCCTTAGTTTTCCAAAGTTGTTTGGATTTTAAGAATTAAAGAGCCCTTGCCAGGATGGAAAGGCAGAATCAAATGTTAAGGGGCTGCAGTTTTTTCCCAACAAGTGGCCTGTGCTTTGGGGGGACAGATTGACCCGACGCAGGAATGCTTTGTCACTCACGTCTCCAGGTTTCCCAAAGAGGCCTGGCTTAGCCAGTCTTTGAGCTTCAATTCTGATACTTTCCTCATGCCTTTGACTTATTTAAAATCTTATTTATTACTGATCAAATTTAGATGCTTTCATTTATTACATGAATATCCATTGGTGAAATTAATCATTTGGTCAAAATACCAAAATAAATTAATAAAAGAATTAATAAAAGATGAACCCTAGAAAATTCAGATAGTAACCATTCCAGTTCTATTTATCTGGAGTCATTTCTAGACTAAATGTAAATAACTCCTGACTTTTATCTAAGAATCTGAACATTTTCTTCCATGTGACATTTCCCCAAATGAAGAAGACAAATGGCTAGAGGCTTGACTGGCACGTTTTTCTTTTTAATAATTCTCTTTGTTCACCACATAGTGTGACACTCAAGTAATTTGCCTCTTACTTGATACATGCTGATAATAATTCTGGTTATGAATTAGGGTAACAGTGGAGGGAGTTGGAAAGCTGATCATTAATAACCACATTACTTTAGATCTACTTATGCTATTGATTTTCTTTGTTTCCTTATGTGTCATTTTGCTGACAGTAAACAAGAAACATTTGCCTATTTGTTAAGTGGATTTTGATAGTGAAAGAAGTTGGCCAACTGGCTGCTTGTTGCTTGGTTGGTATTCAGAACTTAGTGTCCACCTGAGCTCCCTGAGCAATCTTCTCCATCGATAGAACGGTCTGAGGATACAGGTATGGATAACAGTGTCTCGTGGACCCTCAGTTTCATCCTGAAATAAAGACTGGAGTATCATTCAGACCTTCCCATTTTATGTGTAGCTCAGGCCACAGCAGCCACTTCTGACTTTTCTCTCTTCATCTGGGGATGGCTGGGAAGAAGGAAGAAGCCAGATTTATTTGCGGGATTAAATTTCTTTTCAGACTTCTCCTCCGTGGTGACTGCAAAAGAAAGAACATGTCAGTAATTGGCATTATGTGACAAATGCAATTTTCTAAAGTCAAGTTGCACCACTAATTTTGTGGAGGTTTTAATCTTCCTAGAAAGAAAATATAGTTGTTTACTTAACTATCTTGTGTGCCTCCAGTAAAAACGTGTTAAAAACAGGAGGCAGGGCTCCAGAAGAGTATGACTGAAGGGCAGAAGCTTTAGAACTACTTGACTGGGCAGTTATCCATTCTGGGACTCAACTGCCCAATCTATAAAGGGTTGGTTAAAACAGAACAAAACAAAGAAGTTTGCTAGGTTTTGTAACGCACAGAGATATTGTATATTAATATCATCAAAGTCTATTGACTTACAGGAAAATAAAATCAGGTGATGATCCCACGAACGAGAAGTGAAAGTTAGCTTTGAATTGGATATTTTGGAAAGACATACATATAAAAAGTTAAACTCATTTGATTTAAAAATTCAGATTGAAAGTGTCTAATTTTGTCAATAATATTCAGCCAATATTTATAGTACACATCAATTTGATTTTATGGTCTATTATGGGGAAGAAGAGAGAAAGAAGACAAAGGGAAGAGGAGATGTAGAGAGTTATAAGGTAAAGAATAAAAGACAGTGAGCCCCAAGTTCAAAACTCAACCACCTAAATCTCCTTAGGCTGGAACATGCCTAGGTCACGCGCTGCTCACCTCTTTCTCCCAGAGACAAGATGGGAGACCCTGTGTCAGCCTGCTCAACGCCTGAGGCCACTTGCGAGCTGCCCTATCTCTCTTTAATTTTCTGTTATTATCCTCCTTGTCCTCCCCTTCCTCCTCCTCCTCCCCTTCCTCCTCCTCCTTCTAACTCATTCATTCTTTCATTCAGCAAATGTTTTCGAGCATCAACTATATGTCAGTCTGTTCTAAACACTGGAGTTTCAGCAGAGAATGAGGCAAAGTTCCTGCTTTCATGCATCTTACATTCTAGTGGGACAGAATCAATAAAAAGAAATGAATTCTCATACAATGTAATGTCAGGTAGGGGCAGGAGCTGTGAAGAAAAGTACATTCTGGGGAGGGATAGAGAGCCGTGGGAGGGGAGGCTCCTCAGGGTTCTTTATTGGTAAACTCGCAGGTGATTCTGCCCGGGGAGGCCCAGCGGCTCGCCGGCCTCGGAAGGACACTGCATTGTACTTAAGGGTCCCGGCTCTGAGGTCAAGCTGTGGGTTTGAATCCCAGCTCTGCTATTTCTTTAGGGATCTTAGATCAATTACTTATCCTCTGTGCTTCAGTTTTCTCAGCTATAAAATGCGGATGAAAATCGTAACCATCTCAAAGTGTTGTAAAGGCTAAGTGAAAGAGTGTCTATGAAATGGTCAGTGTTGTACCTGGTACACTAATTTTAAACCAAATGTTAGCCATTATCATTAGCACTATCACTCAGTTATAGTTATAGATACCCTTTTCACCCAAAATAAAATTGTGAGAACTTTTCAATTATTTAAATATTCTTTGGAAAAACTATAGAGTATGCTATCATATCATCTTTCACTTAATCATTTTTCTATTACTGGATATGTTTCCACAATTTGGAAAATGGATTACACGTCACAAAGTTCACATTCTCTCCCTTTCTTCCCACATTTAGACTGAAAAGGAATGGTAAACATTATGTTCTGATTTATGTTTTCCTGTACTATGGTTAATATTTTGTGACTTGTTATTGAATTCTAAAGAGACTTGCAAACAATTTAAAGACATTAATACTCAGAACCAGCATTTCTATTATGTGAAAATAATAATCAAAGAGATTAAAACGCCTGTCGTGGGCTCTGCTCAGAGGACTCCCTCCCCCCTGCACTGTGATCATCTTCATCTCTGATGGCCTCTTGGAGCCCAGCACGGTGCAGGGCACACAGCAGGTATTTCAGGATAGTTTATAAATATTTGTTCCACAAAAGTGGAATCTGAACACTAAACTTTCTGAGGTAATTTTGTACCCAGCTTCCTGGAAGAGCTTTTTCATGAAAATAGGCATTTGATGTGTATTTATTGATTTGATTTCATCTACTAATCTCCCACTTATGCTATCTGGGTTCCTAAAATTGCAGGCAATCAACATGGTGGTGCTTTAATCCATTCCAGTTTCCAGATTTTATTGTCATCTTGCTAAATGCACAATTTCCTGAAAAGGAGCTACTTTTATTTTGGAAACTAATTTTAACCCCCTGACCGCACTGAGCTCTTTTCTTCAATAAACCAGAAAGAGGATCTTTAGTCCTGCTTTTGTGGCTCCTTTTCTGTAAGCAAATGGAGACATCTGCTCCTTTGCCTTTCTTGTGTGGTTAATGACGTATCAGGGCAGGTAAGAGAAGACAAAGCCTCTATTAAAACACCAGACATATTAAAAGTTCCTTTGTGATTGGACAAATAACTTGTCATATTTCATGATCTGTAATAAAATTAATCATAGTAGAATCAGTTTCTGATTATCTGAGTATACGTTATTCACTATGTAGGTTGACTGTGACTAATTTTTAATTCCATTTTTGTCTTCCCTCTGGCATTTAAGACATATCTGGCCACCTTCTTTCTGTTACTTAGTTTGTACTTAGAAATGTGAAGCATGTTTAATATCAGATGGGGCAAAACATAGAATGCAAACACAGGGCATAAAATATATGAATTATAACACTTGAAACAAATACGCTTCTGATTACCTGTTAGTTTTGGATTATTTATACCACTGTGTTTCATCTGTTACATAAAACAATTAAAAGTAAAAAATATTATTTTTATAGAAAACTCTTTTATTGCGCAAAATTCTGACTTAAATAATTGGTAGAGTTGATGATTCACAGGGATAATTCATATTCTCATTAAGTGCGCAAGCTAACAAAATTATGGTCAAGTTTTCTGTATTAATTACATAACCCAGCTTTTTGTTGTTGTTGTAGTTGTGTTTGTTATCTGTTACTCAATTAGGTGCAGACAGTAAGAATCATCTCCTTTCTGTTTTTAGACTGACTTCATGGAATAGAGGTTTATAAAAATTGCTGTATGTTAGATCTATTTGATCTATTTTAATGACTGGATAAATGGGCACAGGTTAAATTAGGCCCATACAAGCTTCCGAGAACTAGTAGACGAGTGAGGGTTTGAGGTTTTTTAGGCTGTATAGTTTAATAGAAGAGCATGAAATTTGGAGCAGAAGTAGATCTCAGCTTATCGCTTCATTCCTATTTGATCTTTGGCAAGTCACTTAACCTCCCTTTAGACTATATTTTTTTTCCAATTCGAAGATGGATATAATATTTTTGTTGTAATTATTGTGAAAATCAAAGGAATCATTTCTAAAAACACTATGTAAACTGTAAAACATTGTATATTAGTTATTCCTATCAATATACATGGAAACAGTTCTCTTTGACTTGGCCGGTAAGCTAGAAACTTACTGATGTCATGGCTCCGTCCTGTAGGTACAGTCAGATTAAAAGCATAACTACACAGCCCTCAGTTATGTTATGTCATACTGTCTAGCTTTTAAAACTAGTCATTGAACCTAAGTCTTATATTAGCTCTAGAATATTTCATTCGTCACACTTACAGGTCCTGTTTGATTTTTCTATCTAGGAAATTAATGATTTCCATTTCATTGAGCTAAGACACATACATTCTGGAATATTCATTAAAAGAGTATGAACTGGGATAATTTTAGGCCCAGAATGTTTCTGGGAACAGAGAAAAGTTAATAATCCAAACAGCAATGGGGTACACTCTGGAATTCTAAGTACTAATTTACTTTTTCATGTTGAACGTGACCTCCCTTCTTCTTTCCTGGAATGCCATCTGGAGACTCCCTTTGTGGTTCTGACTCGATGAGTGGAAGAAATTTTAGACTGGTGGGGCTTGGTACCTACAAACCATAAATAAAGAGTTAATAAGACGTATTTAAAGTGATTATTTCTGTCATGTGAATTCAGGGCTGGGGGATAAGGAGTGAGAATGTCCAACTGCTTTAAAATACACCTCCCTTCTCAGTTACCCACTGTTCATTCTTGATCCTTCCCCCTTAGCATCATTTCTGACTTAAGTGTTTGAACCTATTACAGTGGATATGTTCTTGGGAAGGAGAAGTAATGTTTTAAGAAGCAATAAGATTAAGTTGAAATATTTCATCTTTGGCTTATTATTCTTGATTAATTAATTTGTTCTTTAATTTAATAGAGGGTATCTGGAGTGAAGACTTGAAGGATGAGTGAGGATTTAGAGGGAAACAAGGGGTGAGTGAATTCTGGGCAGAGAGGCAGCACAGGCAAATTTGCAGAAGTAGAAAGAACAGTGATGCTTAAGGAACGGCAAGTAATTTGGCATAGGTGGAGTAGAGGGTACATGGAGAATGTGGTAGAAAATGAGGTCATGCAGCTCAGGCAGAGGCCAGATCGTGAAAAGTTTGTGTGCCAGGCTAAATCATTTGGATCTTATCCTGTAGGTGATGAAGATCCAGGGTAAAGTTTGAAATAGTTTCCTGTAGTGTTGTTCACTGTGGAATGGCAGAGACAAGTGATCAAGGCCATTGACACACACAACTGAAGACTTCTCTGGAATCGGACACAATGTGTTTATGGAAGCAGTTGGCTTGGCTATGTGCTTTTCTCCAACCTTACTTGCTAGCCCAGGGTCAGGAGTGAGATGTCAGGTTCCCCATTGTTTTGTAACCACGCTAGTCCTAGAAACCTCCAACTCACCTTGTATATAGGCAGAGAACCAAAAACAATGCCTGCCTCCCTGTTTTCAGTCATGAAACCTTCCAAAGCACGTCGTTGAATCTGCAAAACAGGAGTGAACGTTTAATGGAAAGGGTGCATTCCATCCGTGGCAGAATTACTGGCTTCAAATCCTGACGCTGCCGCATGCTAGCTGTATGATCTTAGGCAAGTTCTTTCCCTGTTGACTAGTTACGAGAATCGAATGAGATAATGTATATAGTAAGGTGCTACCCAAAAGTAAGATTTAGTACCATTGTATTATTATTACTGATAAAAATATGTCAAAAAGAAATTAACAGAAAGAAGTGAATAGATAAATATTACACAATTGAGAATGAAAAGGAATGGGCAAAATAAGATTGCTGGTAAAAATCACAGATTCCTAAGTGAAAGGTATTTTAACTTAGCTTTGGCATTAAATCTTTGTTATTTTACCAAGCAATTGAGAAGACAGAGGTGTGGAAAAAGAGAGTAAGCATCTTGAGCATTCAATTGTTTGAAGAGCTGTAAAACCTTTCTAAAGATTTCCCCAAATTTATTTAATGTTTCAGATAAATTATTTTTTAAAAAAATTATTTCTTGTCTTCAAACTGGAAGAGAATATTAAAAAGTGAATACCAATCTTTATTTTTAGGTTGTGCTATTTCAATCCTATTGGACAAAATTGAGTATCTGTTACATGCTATGCATATATCTTTGCCCAAAGAACTTATGATTTGGTGGTGGGCAGGGGGAGGAAATAAAAGCAAATACGCAAATAGTTCTCATTTGGTGCAGAACGTGGTAAGTTAACATGTAAGGAGGCACGAAGCAGGGAGAGATCGGGGCCTTCAGGGAAAGTGGAATAACATTTACTGAGTATCTACAATGTACCTGGTATACCCTTTCTCATTTAATTCTCACAACAACTCTTTGAGGGCTTTTCAGATGAGGAAAGAGATAAAATAACTTATCCAAGATTAAACATGAGTCTGTCACACCCCACATCCGATGTCTCTCTTGCCTGTCACTTGTCACCTGTCTTCCGGGAGAAGCTATCTGAGTTCCATTTGGACTGAAAGGTATGAGTGACGAAAATTGTTTCATGTGGAAAGTTTTAAATATTTGTTAAATATAAAGTTGATACTATGAAAGAATAATGACATAATGAACATTCATGGACCCACTGCTCTGTTTTACAAATTGGAACAATACCCGCAACTTTGAGGTTCTCAGTATGCCATCCCACGACACAGTCCTTTCCACTGTCCTCAGACATAATGACTCTCCTGAATTTTATGCTTTGAATTCTCTTCCTTTTATTTGTATAGTTTAACCTTATATGCTTTTTGCCAAAACAATATTTTATTTAGTTTTGTCTCTTCTTGACTTTTATATAAATGAAATAACAGTGTATCAACTCTCATGTAAAACTCTTCTCATCCATTCATGTAGGTGAGTGTTATTTTAGTTCATTTATTTTCACTGCTCTGTAGTATTCCAGTTTATAAATATGCCATAATTTATCTACCAATTATACTGATGATGAGCATTTAGGCTGCTTTCAGGTTTTTGCTATTATAACCAGTACTGATCTGAGCATTCTTGTACTTGCCTCGTAAGCACTTGTTCAAGAGTTTTCCCAGGGTGTATATTTGGTAGGGTATGCTTATTTTCAACTTTACTGGATAATGCCACCTTTTTTTCCAAAGTGGTTCTACAACTGATACTACTTGCATCAGCAGATTAGCATTCTGAGTGTGCCACATGCACACTGACCCTGACTATCGTCAGACTTTTTGATATTTGCCAATCTGGTGGGTGTTAAATGGTGTCTCATAATACTATTGATGTGAATTTCCATGTTTACTATTGAGGTTGAGCATCTTTTTATTTGTTTATTGCTAAATGTTTGTGTGTGTGTATGTGTGAGGTGTCCATTCAAGTATTTGACCATTTTTTTAATTGGACGTCTTTTCTTCTTATTGATTCCCAGGAGTTCTTTTCCTATTCTGGATACTAATCCTTCATAAGTTATGAAGGTAGTTATAAAGGTAGGATGGACTTTGGCAGATAGAGAGAGGTCATGCCTATGTCAAGGAGAGCCCAGGTGAACTGTAGGGGCAGAAGACTGAGAGGAATGCTCAGGGAAACAACAGCTAGTCTGATTTGTAGAGGGCAGAACAACTGTAGGTTAGTAATGGGAGATAAGTTTAGAGAGGTAAGTTTGGTTTGTTTTGTGGAAGATCTTGAAGAAGTCAATTTAATCAGTTAATGCCAGACCTTAGCCTAAGGACTCATGCTGTACCTAGTCCTTAGAAGTGTTTGAAATACAAATAGAATGAATAGCAGTACACTTTTCTCTCCTATTCTGCAATGAAGCAAAGTGTGTCTGTCTGTGATAGGCAGAATATTTACAACCAAAGATGCCCACCCCCTAACCCCCACCTCCAGCCCCTCTGTGAATATATTGCTTCACTTGGCAAAAGGGACTTTGCTGATGTGATTAAGGTTAAGAACTTTGAGATGGATTGCCCAGGTGGGCCCAATCTAATCACAGGAATCCTTAAACACAGAGAACCTTTCTCTCTGTGTCAGAGAGACATGCGACCACAGAAGAATGGGCGGAGAGATGCCCCATTTCTGGCTGTGAAGATGCAGGAAGAGGGCCACAACCTCAGGAAGGAGATTCTCCCTTACAGCCTCCAGAAAAGGAGCACAGCTCTGGCAGCACCTTCACTGCAGCCCAGCGAGGACCAGACTGGACTTCTGACCTACAGAACTGAAAGGTAATTGATTTATATGGTGTAAGCCTCCAAGTTTGCAGTAATGTGTGACGGCAGCAATAGAAAACGAATACACTGTGCATATCTAAAATCAGGAAAACCAGAGCAAAGTGTTTTCTGTTCGTTTGTTCGTTTTAAAGCTACCTTGGGAGAAGAAAGAGACTTGAAAAACTTAAAATCATGTTCCACTTCAAAGGTCTTGGGAGGTGTACGTTTGAAAAGCAAAGACATTGAGCTCATTTTTTTCCATCTGCGTAAAAAGATACAAGAAAAACTGTTAAGTACATACCCACACCTTTTATTCTCTGCCTATTAAGCAAGTTATCAATTACATCCTTCTTTCTCTAGGTCCCCAAATTCTCTGGCTCCCATGACACTGGTCCTAATGATACTACCTCTGCACCTAATGCTTATTCCACGTGACGTCCCGGATCTCCCTCCAGGGAAATCACAGAGATTTCTCCTAAGGCTGAACGTGCCATGTAGTTCAATTCATTAACAGCCATTGGAAAAAAACTGTGTAGTAGGAATGTGGAAACCTTGGCTACAAAACCACTGCTTGATCTTCGTGTGACTCAGCGTAGCTTTCTCTATAGTTAAAACTTACTTATGCATATATTTAAAAAGTCATAACTAAGCATTAAAAACATTTTTAAAGATAATAAATAAATAAATAAATAAATAAATAAATAAATGTCCTAAGATGGAGTACTTTTGCAGAAGAAGGTCCATTTTGCTACAGACAAGACATAATTATTTACTTATAATATGAACACATATCCCACATTTGAGCTATCATGCTGTTTCACACTTCTGCATCTACCATTTACACCTTTTGCCTCTGCTGGTGATGTTCTCCATTAGTCATTCTTTATTTGTTCTACAAATGCCTTTTGAGTGCCTACTGTGTACTAAGCATTGAGCTAAGAACTGGGGATATAAAGATGTATAAGACACAGTCCTAGTCCTCAAGGAAATTACAGAATAGTGAAAGAGATGCAAGTTAACAAGTTGGAATATATTCTTTTAAGCACTAAGATATATGGATGTTCAAGACTCAGCAATTACCCAAAAGAGATGGATCAACTTTGCTTGGTGAACTTTACCAGATCTTACTGTCTAGCCAAAGCAAGACTTGAACACTTCAGTAGGGTTTTAGCCATTACCTGGAACCTTTGCTCTTTATTCTCAAGTTGCTCTTGTTTTGATCCAAATTCTATGTAGCTTCTCTTAGCTTCAAGTCCTATTTACAGCCATTCTATCAACCTTTGGACTAGATAATGGCATTGGGTCTCCCCAGCTTTGACTCTCTTAGGATTTCCCTAAAGGACTTTATCTTAGACAACTCTCTCTGATTCTTCCCACTTTGGACTCATCTAGTCAGCTTACCCAGTTCTGGTCTGCTGCATGTTACCAGTCTAGGCAGGTCTGGTCCCTTGAGGGTTATACATTTAGCTATCCATCATCTAGGGTTGGGCTTCACTGATGTTGAAAGCTCAGATGAGCACCAATCTCTTCCATCACGACAAGGATCTGACCACAGTCAAAACCAAGACTGAGCTTTGCAAAAGCACAAAATAGCTTTTCATCAACATTCTGTTCTCTGTTGGAGAACTGTCTTCCCTTTCATAAGCCTTTAAGCATGCTCACGTCTCCCCCACAAACAAGCAAACACATGAAACAAATTCTTCTTCAACCCTAGAGCTATTCAACTTTCTTAAAAATAATAGTATATATTTTTATATACTATTAGTATCTAATAGTATAGTAATCTATACTATCGTCACCTCACATCTCCTATTTATTTCTCAACCACTGCAATGTGATTTTTCCCCATTACTCCATTGAAATTACCATCTCTAGAGTCATCAGTGACTTTTCAGCTGACAAAGATGCCAAATCCAATGTTTACTTTTCTTTTGTCCTATGTGATCTCACTGCATGTTCTAAAATGTGTCCTCTCTACCATTTACTTACAACTCTCTCCTCCTCTGATTTCCATCATACCACTTGTTTGTTGTTTTCCTTTCAACATCCTGGCTATTCTTTCTTAACCTTTTTCACTTGGCCTGCTCTTTAGAGATGATCGTTTCTTGATTTCTTCCTTAGTTTTCTGTTTTTCTCACTCTGTACACAGGACCTAAGTGACGTATCCCTGGTGAAAATACTACTATGCCAGTGACTCTCACATCTCTGTCTCAGCTCTGACCCTTTGGGGAGCTCTAGGCAGGTCCATCTCAGTGCTCGGTAAATACCTCCACATGACTGTTCTTGGACTTAAACCTGTCCAACACCAAACTCACTGTCCTTTTCTTCAGACCTGCTTTTCCTCATGTGTATCTTGTCACAGTGATTTCTGTAAAGTTTAAAATCCTTATGGTTGGCCCATAAAAAAAGTTCACCGTGCTTTGGCCCCTATAGACTTTCCTTGCTTTATCTCCTACCATGTCCTCCCTACTCGCTCCCTGGGCTCCAAGCCTGGAAAGACTGTATGATAGTCTCATTATTTAGTGCCTTTGCTTAGGCAACTGCCTCCTTGGTCTTCTTCACTTGGGTAAATGCTGTTTACCCTTCTGTGATTATCTTCAGAGTTAAATGTTCCTAGCAGTACTATTATACTGAGTTGTAGCTTTTTGTTTACATATGTCTCCCTTCCATGGATTGCAAAATTATTGAAAAATTCTGTGCTTTTCACCTTTGAATTCTCCACATCCAGCACAGTGTCACATTATGACAGTAGTTTAATTCTTGTCTGCCCATCTAAAGAAAACCCAGTGGTCTCACCTTTGCTTGTCAAATACCAGAGGATATTCATATTTTTGCTTCTTCTCTGTGAACTTGCTTTCTTCTTTTATTTCTATGGGATATTCATTAACATCACAAGGCAAAATGAAATCACTTGTCTGTGATATTTCAAACATTCTTCGCTGTCCAAAATATCCACAGTAATGACCATTGAGTGCATGCCAGAGCCTGAGGAAAGTAAAGGTGGGGAGGAGAAAGTAACTGGAATCCAGTGGAAGTTATTCTGTTCATTAGATCATTTATATAGATTTTCAGTGGTCCATCAGGGATTTTAAACTTGAGTCTAAGACTCTTCCTCTTAAATATATGGAGCTAATCGTAGCATAAACATTTTTATCAGTTAGAATGCTACTCTACAATGGTTTTGGAAAATGTCAATTTGAATTTGTACTTATGATACCCATTCATTAAAGGCAGGAAACAAGGAACAGATTTTTCCAGAATAATTCTGCTCATTGAAGCTAATAGAACCCACATTGACTGACAGTGTTTTAGTTGAATTAGGCCTTAGGCTGTATCTCAGCTGTCTACTTTCCGTATCAGCATCAAAATAACTTGTAGGAGGAGATACCTAGTGATGCTTTTACTATTACCAAAATCCTCTCAACCTACATCCACAACTCCTAGAATTGTGGAAATACCATACTCATTTTTACAACTGAATTCTGAAATAGGATGGCAAAAGTAGTGGCTCTTTATCCATATTCATTATTTCACCATCAGTTCACTCCATGAGGTCCCTCTGAATAGCCCATGTAGTTTAAAGCAATACAGAATGTCATTAGCAAGAGTGTGTGCCCTATGTCTTACGGAAAGATAAAATAATATTTGGAAGATCTTCCTTTTATGTCTTGATTTCAACCTCAGAGTGACAAATGATGGAAACAATCATCATGTGCCTACTGCAGTGACCCAGAAGGTGGACAAGCTAAATGAACTAACAGTAGATTCCATAAAGTCGAAGTAGTGTTCCAGATCAAAGAGGCAGACACCGAGGCGGAGGCGGGGCGGAGATAGCCAGTGGGACTCCTCACACCTGACTGTCCTGAGAACATGGGCCTCCTGTACCCCTTACGTATTTTAACTCCCCAGCACTACATAAATGTCATGGTCTCCTTGCCAGAGCCTTTGCCAGAGTGAAATGGACCAGCCTTTTCCCCACAGAAGTCAGAAGGGTGAGGGACCAATTTCAGGACAACTCTGAATTCATTCTATCGTAGGCAAGGACTCAAGTAACTTTTGGTCTCCTTGCTTTGTGGTGTTTCCTGCTCCATGAGGAATTCTCCCAGGTGACTGATCCTACCTCTCAGCCTGGTTTCCTGGGCCTTAAATGTGGATCCGTAGCCCCTTCTATGCTCTGTCCCAGAGCTAAGTCTTTCTATGCTTTTTCCTATTATAAAATCACAATCTTTTTGACAATCAATACTTAGTGTTGAAGTTTCCTACTTCTTTAGAAAATGGCGGCTAGTCTTAGCAAAAGAATGTGGTTCAGTTATGAAGAGAACTGTATTATTATTATTTTTAATTTTTATTTTTTATTGCACTAAAATTGGAAAATAACATTATATAGCTTTCAGATGTACATTGTAATATATTTCAACTTCTATGTATATTACATCATGTTCACCACCCAAAAACTAATTATAGTCCATCACCACACATGTGAGCCTAATCTCCACTTTTGCCCTCCCCCCACCCCCCTTCCCCTATGGTAACCACCAATCCAATCTCTGTTGCTATGTGTTTGTTTTGTTGTTTTTTTTATCTTCTACTTACGAATGAGATCATATGGTATTTGACTTTCTCCCTCTGACTTATTTCACTCAGCATAATACCCTCAAGGTCCATCCATGTTGTCACAAATGGCCGGATTTCATCATTTCTTCTGGCTGAGTAGAATTCCATTATGTATATATATCACATCTTCTTTATCCATTTGTCCCTTGATGGGCACCTAGGTTGCTTCCAAGGCTTGGCTATTGTGAATAATGCTGCAATGAACATAGGGGTGCATGTATCTTTATCCATTTGTGTTTTCAAGTTCTTTGGATAAATACCCAGCAGTGGGATAGCTGGATCATATGGTAGATCTATTCTTAATTTTCTGAGGATACTCCATACTGCTTTCCATAGTGGCTGCACCAGTTTGCACTCCCACCAGCAGTGTACAAGGGTTCCCTTCTCTCTACACCCTCTCCAACGTTTGTCGTTTCCTGTCTTGTTAATTATAGCCATTCTGACCGGAATGAGGTGATACCTCATTGTAGTTTTGTTTTGCATTTCCCTGATAGCTAATGATGTTGAGCATCTTTTCATGTGCCTGTTGGCCATCCATACATCTTCTTTGGAGAAATCTCTATTCAGATCTTTTGCCCATTTTTTAATTGGATTGTTAGTTTTTTTGTTGTTGAGCTGTATGAGTTCTTTGTATATTTTGGATATTAACCCCTTATCTGATATATGGTTTGCAAATATCTTCTCCCAATTGTTAGGTTGTCGTTTCATTTTGTTGATGGTTTCCTTTGCTGTGCAGAAGTTTTTAGTTTGATGTAGTCCCATTTGTTCATTTTTTCTTTTGTTTCCCTAGGGAACTGTATTCTGACAGCTATTAATAGAGCTATGTTTTTTGAACTGAATATCTAGGGAGATTTTAACTTGAGTAATCATAAAAGTAATTTCTGCATGCCAAGGGTAACTGGTTTGAGCAGGGAAAGCTCAGGACAACAGAGGTGTGTGCACATGGGCCGTGTGGAGGGTGTGTGTGTGTGTGTGTGTGTGTGTGTGTGTATTACAATCTCCAGTTAACACTTCTGCTGACAGGTAGCTGAAAATATACTGGAGCAGAGACCCAAGGAACAGACTTGTGAAAAACATCTATAATAATGAAATGTCATCTTCTAAATTTTTCCTACGAATAAAACAACAGACTCCCTTTCTGACAGAGAAAGCAGCCTAACTGTTTGCCCCCTACAGATTCACCTTGAAATCACCGCTTCTCCTTCATCCTTCCACATTCTAAATATTTTCCTCTTTTAGTGCTTCCTCTCTCAATGAATGGCCCCAACATTCACCTAGTCGTATGTGCCAGTGGTCATTCTTGGCATCTATTGCTTACCTCCTCTTTCAGTTGAAGTTCCCATCTTCTGGATTTTACATCTTGGATTGTTCTCAAATCCAAAATATTTATTTCCAGCTTTGTTGCCACTTCCATAGTCCAAGCCACCATATTCACCACAATCTAACTACTCTCTTTGCTCCCACTTTTGCTGCTCTGAAATCTATTTCCCACACATTATTATTAGTTTTTAATGTAAATCAGATTATGTTAGTTGCCCACTTAAAATTCTGTTTCTTCTTCTTCTTCCTTTTTTTTTCCTGAGGAAAATTTGTCCTGAGCTAACTGTTGTTGCGAATCTTCTTCTATTTTGTATGTGAGCTGCCACCACAGCATAGCCACTGAGATGAGCACTGTAGGTCCACACCCAGGAAACAAACCCGGGCTGCTGAAGCAGAGTGTGCTGAACTTAACCACTAGGCCACCTGGGCTGGCCCTAACATTCTTTGATGGCTGTTTCTTTCAAGGTGAAGATCCAGATCAGCTCAGGCTCACCCAGCTGGCCAGGGTCTGTTGAATTTCAGTCCAGGGTCTTTTATGCAACATAAAGTATTGCTTCCTTTTTGTCTTCATTATGTTGCAATTCTCTGATACACTTTGAAGCCTCTTTCCCCTCTTGATCTCACCTGACTTTATTCTCTTCAGGCGATAATTCATTACCATGATTTTAAGACATTTTAATACGCAGCAATTTGTCTCAAAAAACATTGTGGCATTTCCTTTCTCTTTATGTATATGTGTTTTTAGCATCTTGCATATGTATATTTAGCATTATCTAGGCAATTAAAACCAGTAGGCTGTGCAAAATCAGTCACTTTGTCCGTGAAACAATTAGCTCACTTTTCTCTTTTCTCGGTATTAGTTGTTCTTTTCTCTGACTTTTTTATGACTTCTGACCCTGTGTCTCCTATGACCTTCCCTGGGCTTAGGTCTGTCTCTCTGAGCTACCCATCTTGCTTAATTCTTTGAAATAATCTACCCAAAAAACCAACCTTTTATTAAGCTATTTGTTATACCTTCTAACATAGATGAGCAGGGCATCTCAGTTCCTTGGGCAGAGAAAAGAATTCTGAATCAGTGGCCATCTTCTCAAAGCCCTTTTGTGCCACCTTTTATTTGTTTGCTTATTTATTTACTTATGTTAGTCATCAAATCAAGATTGCACTAAACTTTAGCTTAAAATCTTTTTTTTTTGTTGAGGAGTGTTAGCCCTGAGCTAACGTCTGTGCCAGTCTTCCTCTAGTTTCTATGTGGGTTGCCACCACAGCAGCTACAGCATGGCTGATGAGTGGTGTAGGTCCACGCCCAGGATCCAAACCCACGAACCTGGGCTGCCAAAGCAGAGCACACTGGACTTAACCACTAGCCCATGGGGCTGGCTCCCAGCTTGACATCGCTTACATCTCATACTCCAAGCCCTGATTCACAAGGTGAAGGTCATACCTTACTGAGCCGTCGATGGAGGCAGTGAGCACCACTTGTTTGTCTTCTACATAGATCACTTGAATAATTTCCAGAGAATGAGCACGCCAGGCGAGGACCTGCTTGAATTTCTAGACAGCAACAATAAAGCACATCCCTTGTCATAAGTATGTGCTGATCAAAATTCAATCTTGAGCAAAACCATAAATCATTAAAAAGCCAAGCTTATGAGTGAATGGTGTGGACATCTGTGCAAGATGATGAGGTGCCTGTCCTAATTAGATCTTTCTTTTTTGTTGAGGTACCAAAAATTTCATTTTTAGATATTTGTTCATCTGTGCATATCCCTGGGAGAGCAAGTATCTTGTGTCTTTAGCAATTTATCATTTAATTGAGGATTAACAATTCATTTATTTGAGGATTAGTCGATGACTAGATGAGAGAGAAACCTTAGGAGGATTGTGGGGGGACCAAGAGTGAATATATCAGGAGCAGCAGGAAGGAGAGTCAAAAGGTGAAGACCAAAGGGGAGATTGGCAGAAAGACTTTCCCTATCTTCAAATTTCATCCAGAGATAGCCTTGGCTGTTTTGTTCTTTTGTGGAGGGAGGGGGTTATATAGGATAACGATATACCACAAAAAATTAACAAAAGAAGTGGGCCCAGCTCATTCTTTCAGAGACATCCTGAGGCTTGATTGGTATGTTCCTTCAGCATGTGGCTTATCCTCAAGTTTAGAGCGCCTAAATGAGCCTCAGCAGACATTTCTAAATTGTGTGATCTAGAGTTGTCAACTGGGGAGCTTGCTCTGCAGTAGCATCCCCTTTCTATCCCTGATTAACCCAGACCTTCCTTCCTCCTGGGTCATCTACTTAGGAGCATTTGTGTGGCTAGAATTCGGGCAGCTTGAAGTTCTCATAGGAGTCTCCTTTTCATTTAGACATTAACAAAAGTTAGGCACAATTCCTCCTAAATTTCTTGGCCTTCTGACTCAATTTCTTCTAGTTCTTAGAGAGCCAAAGTGAAATCTTCTGCATTCTCCTGCTTCTTATTGTCTCAAAGCTGTTGAAGAACATCTGCTCAGCCAAGGGCTCTTTCTCTGCAGTGGGATGGGATTCTCTAAGGAAAGTGTGTCTCTAATATGGAGCATATACATAGTAAGAAATACATTTTACATCATGACCCGATGTACACATACAATGCCTCTACATGCATCTGAAACAAGTTTCAGTATCTTTCACAAAAGGATACCTAACTTTTCCATGTGCAGGGCACACTGATACTGTCTATTCTATTCTATTGCATTTCATTCTGCTCCATTCTTTTCTATTTTTTTGAAAATACTGGTTGCCACTCATTAAATGGATTTTATGACCCCCTAGTAGATTACAACCTGTAAGTAGGTAAACACTACTCTAAGACTTTTTTTTCTTGCTATAGACATGTGTATATGATCATATGTATTATTTCTTTTTATGTAGACAGGTTTTGACTATTCCATCTCTTAGAACATCTGTATTCCATAGAGTGTCTTTTTAACAGTAATGTTGCAAGAGTATCAGATTAACCTCTGACTTGGAGACTGATATATTAGGTTTTTATTGTAGTTGTAACCTATAACTGAACCTTGTTTATTGCATGGTATATGTTAGTCTATGTACTAATGAGGCATCTTATAACCAGATTCTCTTGTATATTTATAAATAGGCAGCCATGTACAAACTAGAAAATCACAGTGTCCAAAGGTTGAAATGAGGTTGAATATGGAAGAACTTAAATGAGTTATTGAAATAGATTTTCTTCTTTTAAAATGGTGAAAATGCTCTAAAATCAATTGCACTATAATTCTAATTCAATATTATTGAATTAATACAAAGTTGTTTATTTTAAAGATTTTTCCCTAAATTTTGAGAGGTCTTGCTTGCCAGTTTGTAGAAAGCCCATTTGCAAAAATGTAGGTTTTGAATCATGTTTTTATGTGTTGCAATTAATAATAGAATATTGATAATCATTGCAAGTAGGAGAAAACAATTAGATAACCTTCCACATACTCATGGCTCAAGCAAATGATTGTTTTCATTCAGCTCACAGCATGCCTTGATGGTAGGCCATTTATACCTGCCGATAATTGAAACACTGTGCTTTGTAAATTGAAACTACGATTTTCTGTTTGATGGCAGTAAGTGTTGAATATGGAAAGAGCACTGGATTAAAGGACAAGAACCCTGGTTCTGGCCCTGACTTCATCATTAACTGTCTGTGTGATCCTAGGCACACTACTCTCTGAGTTCTCCTCTGCAAAGTGAAGATAAGCATTCTAAAGTTAAATATCTGAACTTTATAAAAACTACAATGGGTTCTTGGAAACAAAAAGGAAACTCCAAGGATCAAATGAAACAATGTTTGAAACAATAATCATTTAAAAACACTTTGCAAACAATCCAATCCTAATCTATGCAGCCCTATGTTAATACCTATAAACCAAAACCAAAACATTACTATTTAAGCTAATATTTAGCTTTTGGATTTGAAGTATTAACTTAAAGAGAAATAAGTCTATCCTAAAATAACACATTCTTGCTGTGCTCTTTAATTAGTGTTGAGTCTTTATAATATATTTAGATATATTTGTATATCTACATACATATTTATAAGTTATAAAATAAGGATAGTGACATTTACATTGCATTAACACTAAAAATAGAATAACATGTTTGGATTATAAGGAGGATTTAGACTAGATGTGAGGAAGAGTTTCTTGAAAATAATAATAGTTGGGCACGAGACTAGCCTTGCAAGGAAAGGTTATGGAATCTCCTTCTATGAAGATGTATAAGATAGAAAGATAGAGAAACTGACTGTGGAGGACTAGATGATGTATGAACTCTTGTAAGCTCTGGGATTCGATATAGATTCTCACAAATAGTCAAAAGACAAAGAAGATGCATAGTGACCAGTGGCTGGCTCGTTCACTCACTCACTCATTCATCCCCTCTTTTCACCAGTAGACCATTGTGGGTTGTCATGTAGCTTAAGTTTCAATAGTATTATATATGACTTGAGAGTAAGGAGTGTTGTCTTGTATTTCTATCTTTTGTGGTATCTAGCACGGAGAAATGCTCAATAACTATGTGCTGATTCACGAACTAAACTAAAAGTAAAGTTCCTACCTTTTCATCATGAGGTGGATCCAGGAAGGAGCTAATACCGCACAGGATAACATGTCCTTCTGTATAAATTTAAAGGTTGTAATCTTCAATTAGATATCTTGTTGTCTAAGTGAATACTACCCAGACTACTAAGTTATTTTGATTTGGGCATTTATAATGATAAATAAAATAGAATCTAAGAAACTAGAAATGAAGGAAGAAATTTTATATCAATTTGTATATGTAGCAATTCTTTTTTGTTTGGCTTAATGAGTCATAATGAGGTTGCCTTATACATTCATAGTCAAAGTCCTTCTAGACATCAAAGTAGATGAGATTGAAATGGATACACCACTACCAAACGGAGTCCAAACTGTTACAAAGATAGTCATCCTACAATCCAAATGATGGTTATAAAAACTAGATTTAAAAAAGCAACAAGGACTACACCTAGGCATATTCAAACTGTAGAAAATCAAAGATAAAGAAAAAATCTTGAAAGAAACCAGAGGAAAAAAACACCTTATGTATAGAGGAGCAAAGGTAAGAATTACATCGGACTTCTCAGAAACCATGCAAGCAAGAAGAGAGTGGAGTGAAATATTTGAAGTGTTAAGAGAAAAACCACCAAACTATAATTCTGTATCATGAGAAATTATTCTTCAAAAGTGAAGATGAAATAAAGACTTTCTCAGGCAAACAAAAATTGAGAGAGTGCATTGCTAGTAGACTTGCCTTGCAAGAAATGTTAGAAGTTCCTAAGAGAGAAGGAAAATGATGTGAGTCAGAAACTCAGATTTACATAAAGAAAGGAAGAGCATAAGAGAAAGAATAAATAAAAGTAAAATAAAACCTAACAGATGAGTTCATTCAAAATACTAACTACACTAATGAATCTGATGATTATAACTTATGAATGCTTGAAATGAATGACAGCAGTGTTACAAGGGATGGGAGGGAGAAATTAGGAATACTTTGTTATTGTAAGGTACTTGCAGGACCTGTGAAGTGATGTAGTATTATTTGAAAGTGGACATGGATTAGTTTTAAATGGATATTGTAAACTCTGGGTTAACCACTAAAAAAAGTAAAAAAAAAAGATGTATAATTGATATACTAAGAAAGGAAAGAAAATGGAATAATATAAAACACTCACTTAAAACCACAAAAGGCAGAAAGAGAGTGGAAGACAAAAATAAGAACATAAACAAGGACAACAAATAGAAAACAGTAAGAAATATGGTAGATACTAATTCAACTATATCAATAATCACTTTAGATGTCAAAAGTCTAAATAAACCAATTAAAAGAAAGATTATCAGCATGGATTAAAAACAACATCTAACCATATGTTTTCTACATAAAATCCACTTTACATATAAAGACACATATAGATTAAAAGTAAAGGGATAAGGAAAGATTCACCATGCTAACACTAATCAAAAGAAAGTAGGAGTAACTATGTTAATTTCAAACAGAGAAGACTTCAGAGCAAGGAAAATTATCAGGGATAAAGAAGAGCATTACATAATGGTAAAGGGGTCAATTTTCCAAGAAGACATGACAGTCTTTAACATGTATGTGCCTAACATTGGAGTGTCAAAATAGGTGGGGCAAAAATTAATAGAACTGCAAGGAGAAATAGATGAATCTACTTTTATAGTTGGAGACTTCAATATCACTCTATCAGAAATGGATAGGTCCAGTAGGCAGAAAGTCAGAAAGAACATAGCTGAAGTCAACAGCACCAACAATCAACTGTATATAATTGATATCTATAGACAACTGCAACCAACAATAGTAGAATACACATTCTTTTCAAACTCTCATGAAACATTCATCAAGATAGACCACATTCCAGCCCATAAATCACACCTTAAGCAATTTAAAAGAATAGAAATTATACAATGTATGCTCTCCGACCACAATGAAATTAAATTAGAAATCAATAACAAAAAGAGAGCTGGAAAATCCCAAAACAATTGGAGACTAAACAACATACTTCTAAATAACAGGTCAAAGAATAAATAAGAGAAATTTTTAAATATTTTTCACCAAATGAAAATATGATACCAAAATTTGAGGGAAGCAGTGAAAGCAGGGCTCACAGGGAAATTTATACGCATATATTAGAAAAAAAGAAAGATCTAAAATCAATAATTTAAGCTTCTACCTTAGAACTAGATAAAGAAGAGCAAGTTAAACCCAAAGTAAGCAGAATAAGAGAAATAATAAAATTTAGAGCAGAAATCAGTGAAACTAAAACTAGGAAATCAATAGAGAAAATCAACAAAACCAAAAGTTGGTTCTTTAAATAGATCAATAAAATGGATAAACTTTTAGCCAGGATAAGTAAGAAAAAAAGATCTCATGGGGATTAAAAGGGTACTAAAGGAATACTATGACCTCTGTGCCCACAAATTTAATAAGCTAGATGAAATGGACCAATTCTTTGAAAGACACACAGAGTCTGCCAAAACTCACACAAGAAGAAAGAGACAATAATATAGAAAGGTCTATATTATTAAAGAAATTAAATCAGTAATTAATAAGCTTCCCAAACAAAAAGCACTAGTTCAAGATGGGCTTAATGGTGAATTCTACCACCATTCTACTACCATAGTTAAGGAAGAGATTATACTAATTCTCTACAATCTCTTCCAAAATATAGAAGCAGAGGGACTACTTCCTGACTCATTCTATAAGGTTAGCGTTGCCCTAATACCAAAACCAGACAAAGACGTTACAAGAAAAGAAAACTACAGACCAATGTCTCTTATGAACATAGATGCAAAAATCATCAACAAAATATTAGCAAATTAAACCCAAGAGGTATAAAAAGAATTATACACCGTGACCAAATGAGATTTATCTCAGGTATGCAAGGCTGGTTCAACATTTGAAAATCAATTAATGTAATCCATCATATAAATAGGCTAAAGAAGAAAAATCACATAATCACATCAATAGACACACAAAAAGCACTTGACAAAATCCAGTACCCATTTATGATAAAACTCTCAATCTAGACACGGACCTTACACTTTTCACCAAAAAAAAGCCGCAAAACATCTTTAAATGTACCACAGAAAACTATAAAACTCCTAGAAGAAAATCTATATGACGCTGGGTTTGGTGATGACTTTTCAGATACAACACCAAATGCATAATCCGTGAAAGAAATCATGGATAAACTGGACTTCATTAAAATTAAGAACTTCTGCTCTGCAAAAGATACTGTCAAGAAAACAAGAAGACAAGCCATACACTAAAGGAAAATATTTTCAAAATACATATCTTATCTTCCATTACAGAGGATTGTTGGATTAACAGAGGACTGTTATCCAAAATATATAAAGAACTCTTAAAGCTCAAGAATTTACAAAAACCAAATGGCCTGATTAAAAAAGGCAAAAGATCTGAACAGACACCTCATCAAGAAGGCACACAGATGGCAAAAATGCATATGAAAAGATGGTCCACATCATATGTCATTAGAGAAATGCAAATTAAAACTACAATGAGGTACTATTTCATGCCTATTAGAACGGCCAAAATCCAAAACACTGACAGTATCAAATGCTGACAAGATCATAGGGCAATAGGAACTCTCAATCATTCCTGCTGGGAATGCAAAATGGTGCAGCCACTTTGGAAGACAGTTCGGCAGGTTTTTGTAAAACTAAATATGCTCTTACTATATGATACAGAAATTAACTTCTTGACATTTACTCAAAGGAGGTGAAAAGTCATATCCACACAGATGTTTATAGTGGCTTTATTCATTATTGCCAAAACTTGAAAGCAACCAAGATGTCCTTCAGTATGTGAATGGATAAATAAACTGAGGTACATCTAGACAATGGAATATGATTCAGTGCTAAAAAGAAATGAGCTATCAAGCCATGAAAAGATGTGGAGGAAACTTAAATGCGTGTTACTAAGTGAAATAAGCCTAGGATGCTAAGTGAAAGAAGGCAATCTGGAAAGGCCACATACTGGATGATTTCCAATAGGACATTCTGGGAAAGGTAAAACTATGGAGACGGTAAAATGATCAGTGGTTGCTAGGGGTTCCAGAGGAGGGAGGGATGAATAGGTGAAGCATAGGGGATTTTTAGGGCAGTGAAAATACCCTGTATGATACTATAATTATGGATACATCGTCTTATACATTTGTCCAAACTCATAGAGTGTATAACTCCAAGCGTGGCCCCTAGTGTAAACCATGGACTTTGGTGATGATTATGTGTCAATGGAGGTTCATCCATTGCAACAAATGTACCACTCTGGTGCAAGATGTTAAAAGTGAGGAAGGCTATGTGTGTGGGGGTGGGCCAGAGCGTATACAGGAACTCTGTAATTTCTACTCAATTTTTCTGTGAACCTAAAACTGATCCAAAAAATAAAGCATAATTTAACAACAAAAAAGCAACAACTGGAAATGTCTGAGGATGTTTGATTTAAAATAGTGACTAGATAGCAACCTGCATAGAAGTTCCTTTAACATCTACCGTAGCACAGAAGAAGGAAGCTAAGGTCAGAATCTAAGGGAAATCTCCTTTAATTATAATATGGATGAGGCTGGATTGAATGCCAAACACACCCCCACTCTAGTTTTCTAGATCACAGCAAAAACTACAAATCTCAAGAAGTAAATGGTTTATATGACAGGAAAGTGCTCTGGGCAGAGGCAAAGAAAGAAAGAAGCCTTGTAGAGGTGCATTCTGAGAATTCTGTCGATAGTTTCAAATTTTACTTGTATGTGTTTTGTTAGGAAAGGCTTGCCACATAGTAGGTAAAGTTAGTCCAAAAATATGCAGGCTATTTTCAAAAAGGAACAAAATTTGCCCGATCTTAGATTTCTCTACTATTCTGCTGTAAACAAAAACAATGTTTATGGAAACTATGGAGATTGACAGATAAATAAAAGAAGTCAAGAATAGGAATATTACAGTGTAACAGAACTGATGGTGAGCAATAAAACCAGATAAAATAAAGATAACTTTAAGTAAATGTTAGAAATCTCCTGATAATACTATACTGATTTCAAATATAAACAATTATTTCCTGTAATCTCCAGAAGACTCAAATAATTGATGATACAAACGGTTTGTTGTGACTTTTACAAAATAACTTTTGAAATGAGAAAAATGTTCTCAAAAGAGAAGATGTAAAATTTAAATAGTAATGTACTAGCAGTATCTGGATGCTAATCTCAAGATTGACATTGGCAAATGATAAGTGAAGGCGTGGGTGTGGAAAAAAGAGACAGGTCAAGTGGGCTAAGCCTTCGGTCTGGCTGAAAAGATGCTATTTCAATCTAAATGCTAACAAATGGTTAAATTTTCTGAAAAATGTAAAGGTAAACATTAGTAAAATTAAAAACTGTATTTATACATGGTTGTGCATTTACACACACATAATCTTTCAAAGTATGAGAGGGATGAAAGGAAAGGAAATTTAAGATTAATTTAAGATGGAAGAAAGGAAATAGAAAGGAAGAATTAAAAAAAAGAATAATGTTACATGAAAGAATTAAGACCAACTATATTAGCTATAACAATAAAGTCCGCTATTGAAAATGAATAATCCCTTTCCTCTCTCATACACGCCTCTGCTCCCTTTAATAATGAAGATTAAGGCAGCATACCACTTTCAAGATTAAAAATGAAACCTTTACATTCTTCTCAATGTGTAAGGTAAGGGGATTGGTAGTCATACCCAGTTTAAAGATGGAAGAAATAGAAAGTCTTGCTCTAAGTAAAGAGCTAGGATGAAGTAGGTTCTCCTGACATTCGTTCATTCTTCGAGTTATTCAGCAAGCTGTCCATAACACTCTGGCTCTCATGCTTGAGCATCCTTCTTACCATTCTTTTGTCTCAATAAATGTCGCATATTTTCCTATACCTATATATATGTCGCATATTTTTATGTCATGTAGGTTGTGAAGATACCTGTGGCCGACTACATAAGAGGGAGGACTTACCCATATTTCCAGTCAGGAGTATCCTGGCACAGGAATCAGTGTACAGTGATGTCAGAGAAATGGCGGAATGTTTTGTGAAAGGAAGCATATCTTTCAGTAGTTTTCCCTGAATAAAATATGATCATAAATTCCATAAAATATTGATATTGGAGCTGTTTCTCCATAAATAATCCATATAAAGAATTGTCTCTGCTACTAAAACGTGATTCTTTTTGTAATAAAAATAATTGACACTATCCATAGGGATTTAATTCCTTGAAATTAAATATTCATAAAGCTATAGACAACTATTAATTATAAGCATCCAGATGCTGATTATTACAGATCATCTCTCTACTTGGGGTTGTTTTTGTACTTCTCATGACCCTTTCCATGCAATTCCTCAGAGGTCTTTTCCAGGTCCTTTTCTTTTTTTTTTTTTTAAAGATTTTATTTTTCCTTTTTCTCCCCAAAGCCCCCCGGTACATAGTTGTATATTCTTCGTTGTGGGTCCTTCTAGTCGTGGCATGTGGGATGCTGCCTCAGCATGGTCTGATGAGCAGTGCCATGTCCGCGCCCAGGATTCGAACCAACGAAACACTGGGCCACCTGCAGTGGAGCGTATGAACTTAACCACTCCGCCACGGGGCCAGCCCCTTTTCCAGGTCCTTTTAAACAAACATTCTTTTCAGGTTTAAGCATATCTCACTTGTTTTAAATAGGAATGTTGTATTTGCCTTTTCATAAATATCTATTTTTGAATATTGATGCAAAATAGATTCTAAGAGATTCACATTCAGCAGATTGCTTTTCAGTGCTTGGTATAAGTCAGCCCCAGGAAGGACTTTCACACACATTGCTTCTCTGTAGAGAATAAATGTTCAAGCTGGAAAAGAAAGAATTTGAATCTGCTACTCATTTCCTGAGATTTACTTGGATATCATCTTTTTTCCTCCCGTTCCTCTCACTCTTTTCTCTATCAGAAAAAGAAAAAGATATTGCTTCAATACCAAGATTGTCTCAGGGAAATTTATTGCTACAATATTTTTACTTTCAAACCAAGAGTTTCCCCCTAATAAGCTGGGATCTGCTGATAGACATGGAGCTTTTATCCAGCAGACACAGCCATCTGTTCTATGTTGTTGGATGCCACTGTCTGCCGTGCCAAACTATGGCTGTTTTCTGGGTTTCCCTCCAGAAAGAAGCCTCAGAAGTGGTGCCACCTCCCTTGTCTCTCTAAGGATTCCATTGTCAACGTCACCAGTCTACTCAAAATCTTTTCTTTCATCATCTTCTGTCCTCCCAATTCAAATCCTGCCCCCATCCACCCCAAATCATTTCAAATCTTCCAGGAAAGGAGAGCTGTTTTTTCACTGTAATATGTTCAAGGACACTCAGTACAATGAAATAACTTCTTCCAATAGTTTGGATAACTAAAAACTTACGTGTACTCAAAATTTCATGGTTCTTATATCCTTTCACTGTAATACATCATTAGTGTTTTCTAATGTTATTTAAATATCCAATGAAATAGTCAGCGGAATATACTCAGCTCAATTTAAATAAAAGAAAAGATCTGAAATAGTTAACTTGGCAGTTTTGATGATTTGATCTCTTAAAATACAAAACTGGCCTATTGTAAAGTTTGAGTAGCATTTTCAGTGAGCAGCAAAACCAGCAATTTGGCTAGGAAGTTGAAAAATACTAAAATTGGATGCTTTATGGAACCATAGAAGGCTAAGGTTCATTCAGTAATCCTTTTTATCTTTCCCATTCTTTGCTAGTCCAGGTAAATAGGCCCCATCACCTCCATGGTCCACAGGCGGAGGTGTCCATCCTCATGCGCAGTGACAAGAATAGGTGGCTGGGCATCTGTTAGATTGGTGCCCCCAGGCCGTTTTTTGTCCACTGGGTGTTGCTCTCGCGCTGTGACATCTGTTTGCTCACCTATTGGGAAATTAACGAGCTGCCATGGGGTTTACAATACTTGGAATTCCACTTTTTATAGAACATAAAGGGGGAGGCAGGTAGGAAAATAGCAAAAACAATACATTCTTTTCCCTAGAATTTTTTTTTTTTTTTTAACCTCAGAGAACTTCAGTCAGGGCAGAGGACAAAAAAGCTTTAGCAAATGGAATACTGTATCCCTGGAAAAACCTAAAGAGTTTATTTTTGGTCCTATTTCAGAAGCCTTTGCACTGTATATAAGAGCTAAAACCAGATAGACGTCGAGTGTAAGTCTTCCCCATACAGAATGGCTTAGGAATCTGCAATAAGCTTTAGGAAAATGGGCTGGAGGCTGAGGGCTCAGTAATATTTTGGATTTTTAAAATCTAGAATTAGTAGTTGAAAAGGCACCATCATGATGGAAATTCTGCCTCTCAGACTCCGGAGTCCTATGGCACCTCAACACTTAGTCAAAAAAGAATATATATTCCTCACGAGTTTCTATCCCCTGGACTCCCTACCACAAAGTGATAGTTTTCTCATAAGGAAGAGAACCCATTCCTACTGACCTTTGACCTCGCTCTCATGGATGCTCTGTTTGCTTCCCTGAATTAGGGGAGAAAAAGAGAGAATATTTCCACAATATTGTAAGGAAATGAGATATACTAGGTGCGTAGATTCTTTAGACAGTTGAATTTATATTTCTAAGCCTTAGTTTTAAAGTTATTTTTGAATTAGTTCTTTGAAAAACTGTATTGTAGAGACTGTGTGTCCATAAATAGGAATCTGTAACAGAGTATTTTCCCAGTGGCTCAGATCTAGCCTAATAATGAGAGAAATTAAATGCCTAATGCATGCATGCTCTTCGTGTATATTGCCTCTAACTCTATTAACAATCACGCAAGGTAGGCTTTATTATTCCCTTTTTACTGATGAAGAAATGGAGACTCAGAGATTAAGTGACCTCTGTAAAGCTAATTATCAGATAATAAGTGGAACACTTGGAGTCAAGTACAAGTCTGACTCTTATGTCCTTATAAGTTCACTCTTTCCCCCGTGCTAGTGGTTTTAAAACAATTTTTGCAGTGAACACTTTCCTTCAAATAAAATCCTAACTAGAAATGGAATGTGTAAAAATAAAATTGGAACTGAGAACAGTTTGAAAACCGCTGCATTAACTTATGTGTTGTGATGTAATGTAATTACATGCTGTCTCTTCCCCCTGTGAAATTTTGTAATACTTTTTAGCAAAAGAGATAGTCTAAAATTACTTTATTATTTTATGAATGTAAAAGTAGCATATATAATTCATTTTATTCATGATTTTGTATTGATTATTTGCAGATATGAAAGCTTTGAAAAAGCTTTTGCTTTTTAGGGAAAACCATAAAGTTTTTACATACAGGAAGAGAATCTTTCCACCTTTACCTTCTATCAAGGGAGGGGCTCAAATGGGACAAGTCAGTATTTTTGAACCAACGTTAGGTGTAATAGGAAGACATCCTCTCCCCATTCTTTGCTTACCTTACTACTCTGTGGACCCCGACTGGAATCACAGTGGGACGAAGAGCATATGGAATCCTGACTTGACCTTCTGCAAGGAGAGGGAAGAAGCCCAAGGAGGAAAAGTTAAGATATTCTATCACACTCAAAGAGCGCTCTTCTCTGCTTTAATTTTAGTTGATTGCTTCTTTCATCATCTGTGGATCCTGAGCCACTCACTTATGAAACAAATCACACCTTATATCTTGTGTAACGAATGTTCATCTGTCTGATGTTGGTGGAGACCGTTGGGAGCCTCAGGAATTAAGATTTATTGCTGCCTGGGCCTGGGAAATAAAAATCCGCCCTGTTTCACTGCCAAGGCTGGATTTAGTCCCAGAGGCTCCGATACTGAAATGGTGGGGTTGGGGGTGGCGGTGGTGGCCTGACAAGCCTGGTTAACTTCTACTCTACTGTTTCCAGTTCTGGCCTGGTCCTGTCTCTGCAGTGCTCTGCTGGAATGGGCTGGAAAGCAACTTAGGCTGCTGGTGGAGGCACATACAGAACAAGCCCTCAAGATGTTCTCCGATAAGGAAATTTCAAGTCAAGGGGTAGGACAGGGGTTATTTCTGGCTCACCACGGGGTGACCCCAAACTGACACAGGAGCTTTTGTTGTCTGTCCAGAGAGGTATTTACCATTGCCTATTGCCTGAAAATCAGAGCTCTCAAGCAAATATAAATAGAAAAAATACCTTTTCTCAAATATTTTAAAAACAATCCGCCACTCTCTCAGCAATGGGTGAAGAGTGCTCAGCTGTAGCGGATGTCACGTGAAACCCACTGCCCTGGGATCTTTCCTATCTGCCCTCAGGTCCTTCCTTCCACTTCACATCAGTGCCCGTAGAGTTAGATGTTGGCTACAAGTGTGGTGATGTGAGCATTATCCATCTCTGCTACTGCTGTAAAGGGAGCTGTGAGCTGACGTGGTGAGGGAAATGGATCCCCCACTGCAAATTCAATCCCTGGGGGCCACCCAGCTCCAGAAGATGGTGACAGGGAAGGGAGCTGAAGCCGAGGAATCAACCCAACTTGTGTCTTCCCTCAGCTGTACCTTCCTTAAGGCTGGAATGAGGAGAACTCTATATGACACCCACATAAGTCCCAGATGGTATTTCTCGACCAGTAAGTACTGAGTTACCTTGCACATTCAGGGCTACGAAAGAGGAACAGGATGTCATTAATTCTAAAGCGTTTTGGATCCAAATCAGCACCCACAGTGAAGCAGTCTTCAGGCCTGTACCTGGAAACAAGCATACATTTACGTGCTAAGCATTTACAAATTAGGTAACTGCCATTACCTATATCATACATCCCACGCAGAACTAATCGACTCCCGAAATGTTGATATCATTGAACGTGAAAAGAAAACCCAGAGGTGTAGAGTTTGAATGTATCTTCCTTACTAAGGCTCCATAGAACAGCATGGTCATTTAGTGTTAAAAATCTTTTAATTCAGTTAGCTGGTCTAGTCTTACCCATGGGTCAGATTGGGCTTATATGACCTCCTGGAGGTTTCATACTGTTGTTTTGTTGTTTTTTTTTTAATTGAGGTCACATTGGTTTATAAGGTTATATAAATTTCAGGTCTACATCACTATATTCCGATTTCTGTGTAGACTACATCATGTTCACCACCCAAAGACTAATTACAGTCCGTCACCACACACATGTGCCCTGTCGCCCCTTTTGCATAGTTTAAAGAACAAAGTTCTACTCTTTGAAAAAGTGGAGAGACAATTTGAATAAACCATGGTTACTACCCTCAAGGAACTCACAACTGAGCGAAGAAGACAAACGGGTAATTCAGTGATTACACTGCTCTTGGCGCTCAAGCCTCCCGTTGGCCCAGCTTCCTAAGAACATACATTTTCCTAGGCAGTTTCCTGGGAGCAGAGCAACAGTCCCTAACTGCCGGCACTGGGCGCTTCCACTTGGCTCTTAAAGCCACACCTAACACTCCTTAGAGCAAATAGACCTTGTAGCAAAATATTCCTTTTCCTTCAGTGGAAATTGCCTCTGCTAATTTGGACTGATGTGTGATGAAGGAACCTTCTGGGGCGTGAACCAAGCTCAAAAGGGGAGCCTATAAGCTTGATGGCTTGTTGAGCCCAAACTTTTTCGATATTTCTGCTCTGCAGATGAGCTGAATGGTGAAGTGGGTTATTAATTAGCAAGAACAATTTCTAGTTTGAGCCGAAAAAAGCATGGGGCTTTGAACAGGAAGAGAAGGGCTATTTCTCCTGACTGGCGGAGGGCTCTTAGGCAGAATTTAAAGCAGAGGTAGAGATGGCGTCCACCATGAATAAGGAAACCATTTTCACCTTCAGAGCCTTGAAAGCTGAGACTAAATTGCCTTAGACGGTTTGTGCTACATTACATGTTTTGCAAAATAGTCCAGTGATTCTAAATCAATTATTTTTTATATAATCACCTTCTTACAGGAGGGGGACACTGTATGACCCACTATAGTCAGTTATTTTTCTCTGATTGGTGTTAGATTTGCATGCATCCCCTGGCAAAATGTCCAGCACTTTAACAAGGAGGCTCTCCACCTTTAAATTGGAACTATTCTCAGGGGAGCTGCCCCCTCCTTAGGCTGCAGCGTCAGAGCTGTGGTCTGTGCCTTCTTAGTCTAGCTGCTTTCCTTTAGTAATGAGTCATGAAAAGCTGACACTCGCAGTGTGAGAACTGCGTTAATAAGAGGGTGAGAAATTGTACAAATTGCAGTGCATATTGATGAAGGTATCAAATGACAAGTGCACAGTCTGCGAGAAAAGCCTAAGGGCAAGGGTTGAAGAAAAGGAACAAAAGGATGACCGGTTCTAGGGGTAAGGCCCGGGAGGACATGGGCTGAGGTACAGAGGGCGGGGTCTGCAGAAACAGCTACTTCAACTAAAGGTTCAAAGGAGAATAAATTCAGGGTCCAAACAAGAAAAGAACATTTCCTCTCAAAAACTGGGTAAAAGTAAAGACTCAGACTCCGACCGGAAAGCTGCACGGAGCCCAGGTAGACCAGTAGTGTGTAGGCACAGACAGTAGACTGCAACAGGACAGACATTTCTTTTGCGTTTTCCTCTTCTTTTCCATTGTCCTCTTTGACTCTCTCCTCACCTCTTTTATATCTCTTCCCTTCCCCAAAATGCTTGGATAGACTTGATCTTATTTTCATTCACTGTTAAGGTTCTTGGCCATCTTGTACCTCAATGTAAAATTTCACAAACTCGCTTGACATAGGGTGTTTACACATGGCCCTTGCTTATAGCCCAATTACACAACTGTGAAGAATTTATTATTTACAGTCCATCCATTGCAAATAATACAAGGTTACGTTATTTCCTTTACAACCAATGGTAATAACATTTAGAAATGGATGGCAGGGGGAGGGTAAAGTTTTTGGCTGTGGTACAGAGCGAATCTAATTGGTTGAGATATAGAATTTCATGCACCATGCCTTTGTTAGCACTGACATATAATGAGCTGGATGTGTTGGGGTGGTGAATGAAGAGGAAAACCCATTGAGAATGCCTGTCACCATTTGACTTTGGTGACTGAGTGGATGGTGGTGTCACTGGGAGTATAGGACGAGGAGATATTTGGGGCGGGGAGTAGGTTGGGAGGAACTTTTGGGTATGTGGGCCTTTAAGGGTCTTGATGGCAAGCCAGATGGTAATTGCCAGTAGGCAATTGGATATGTATTTTTGAAGGTCTGGGGAGATTAGTGCTTGAAATTATTATGTATTTTAAGTGTTTGTAGAGGTTACGAGTTTGAACAAGATCACATATAGAAAGCATGTGCTAGAGTGAGAAGAGTAAAGCTGAGCCCTTGGGAATACAAATACTTCACGCTCGCCTTATTCATATTATTCTGGGATTTAGACACAGAATACAGTCTCCTCATGAACGTAACCTCCAGGACAGCCTCTTGAGAGTTATCACCATTTTTATTTACTGCTTTCTTTTAGTATTGAATATTACTTTGACTCTTCTGCAATACAAGTTTCATATTGTTTAAGGAAAAGATGCAACTTACACTTCTTTGACAGTAGATGTTACAAAATTCCATAAGATGATCATGCCATTTAGGGTTCCAGCAGCTATCAAATTATATCCTTCTACTTGTAGTAAATCAATGCAGTTCACTTCTACACTGATGGCGGGATTCTGAAGAAGGAAGGAAACAAGACTCACCAACCATCAAGAACACAGCATCTAACCACAGTACAAATGCTACATGTGCACACTGCTATTCTGTCATCACCTTAAAACAAAACGTCTTATTATATATTTTTAAAACCCTAGAGCATGCAATTTAGTAAAATCTATTTCTTCTTTTTGGCATTAAAAATTTTTTACTTTGTAGAATTCACTAAAACAACCAGAATATACTCTCCCTCTGCACGGACTCCTTCCGGTTAGCCTTGACTTATTCTTCCTAGACCTGCCAACCATTAGATTACCTTCCATCTTTCTCTCCCCTTCAAACTTCTTGAATATTCTACATTAGCTGTTTCCCCTTAATGACTTTCTCTTACTCATTGTTTGCCTTCTGCTCCATGTCACTCTATGAAAACTTTTTCTAATTATCACCAAGCACTTCCAATCCCAGTGCTACTTGACACTTTTCAGTTGTCTTGCCTCAAGCATTTGTTGGACACATACTACGTTAGGTTCTCGGAATACAAAGTCAAATAGAAGTCTATGACCTGGAGAAACATGTAATATAATTAAAGCTTTAAGGTAAAGTGTTGATGACTGTACACTTTGAAAGTGCTATCTTGGAGGTATGCACAAGACTTTATAGCAACACAGAAGAGTGACATCTAAATAAGACTAAAGGTCTATTATTCTTGTCACTCTCAATTGCTCTTTCCTTCCTGAAACTCCTTGTTCCCTTGACACCCTTGACACCAGGCTCTCCTGGTTTTGCTTGTGTCTGTGTGACTCTTCCTTTTCTGTTTCCTACTTGGTACTCTCTTACTCTACCAACCTTTTAAATATTAATATCCTTGGGGTTTACCTCTGGCCCATTTACTTTTTCCTTTTTCCAACTCTTTCTGGGTAATCTCATCCCCTTATGTTTTAATATTCATCCCAGTATTAATGACCTAGTAACCTAGTCCAGTCCCCTCCCACCAGCTTCAGGCTGGTTTATTTAATTACTTCTTAGAAATTTTACAGCTATCTCAAAGTTAATATGTCTAACTCAGCACCCCCTTCAAGCATGCTCCTTTATCCTATATCTCATTGGGTAGCACCACATCCCCATCCACATTCAATCAGAATTGCATAAACCACATCCTTGTTAGGTTAGAAATCTTGGCACTGTCCTTGATTTCTTCTCTTCTCTCAGTACCCTCCTCTCCCAACTACATGGAATCAGTCACTAACTAATCAATCACAAGTTCTGCTACTTTTATCAGCTAAATATTTTTGGAAACCTCTCCTTTGTCACCATCCCCACTATCATGGCCTTATATCTTTCAACTAAAACAGTAGCCTATTGCCTGAATCTCCGGCCTTTAGTCTTGTTCCGTTTGAAGCTGTCGTCAATATAGCATCAAAGATGCTACCAACAAATCTGATCATGTCATGTCTCGTTTAAAGCCCATCAGTGGTTTTACACTTCTTATAGGATATTCAAGCTCCTTAACACGGTGAGCATGATCCAGCCCCTACCTATCTGACCATCTCCATGTTCTACCACTCTCAGTTTTTCTTCAGCCATCCTGAGATACTTGTAGTTATCCCTAGCACACCATGCAAGTTCTTACCTCCATGATTTTTTTCCCAAGTTATCTCCTCCACTTGGGATTCATTTTGTTTTCTCATTTCCGCCTAGAAACTCCCTATCTGAGCCAAGCTGACTCTTGACCTAATTCAGGAATTATCTTCATCAGGGCCTCCTCTTCTCCAACATCCCACCACTCCCCAGCCCAAGCTGCCAAGTTCTCTGCTGTCTCCTAGAGTGCAGGGGTGCAGGTAGCACCCCTCATTAATCTCTGCATTCCCAGTGCTAAGAACAGTGCATCATACATATTAAATGTTCAATAAAAAGGGCTTCATAAATGAAAGAGTTTTAGGGAAAGAGAATTTCCATGCACGATCCAATTATTTTTCCTAAGTGACTTTTGCAAACTTTCTATCTATAGAAATATTTAAAGTATGTGGCAAAAAGGAAGTGCTATAAATGCTTAATTATGATAAATACAAATAATAAAGTTTCAAAGTCAGAGATAATTTACATTTGCATTTAAATCCTAAAAGGCATTTCCATTGTACTTCAATAATTTATTCAATAATTTATTGCAACAGTTTTTCTGTTTTTTCAAAGCAATCATTTTTTTGTTACCCATGTGATAACTTGCCAGCTTCACTGGTTCTGACTCACGGAACATTCGTCTTCTTTCTGTTTTTATTGACTCCAAGCAAGGAACATAGGACTGAACCCGTAAGTGTTTCCAGTGGCGTGTAGAGTTGGAAGAAGTGGGCTAGAACTACTCCATGAGGAGACACAGTTTGTTCTTCTATCTTCTGTGCATATTACATGATAATGTTATCATCACATAGTCACTCTATATCTTGATTTCAAAATCCTTTTAGCAAACAATAAAACCGACTTATGATTTAAACCATCATTGAATGAAATCTGAATTGCAGTGCTAAAGTGATTTATTTCAATTTGAGGAAAAATAATACAATATTTTGTATTGTGAAACAAGCTATATTATTCTCTCTCAAATTAAATTATGGTTGTTTCGCTAATGACAGCAGTGAAAAATTTAAGGCTTTCTTCAATTGCTCCCTCTGTGACTTGCAGTTTTCCTGCACTCTTCAGTGTCTGATCACTTATCCCTGTAAAAGCTGAAAAGCATTAGTAGTTTGAGCTAGTATTAGAGTAAGCAAAGAAGGTTGATGGTCTCATTAAAAAAAGAGACCAATTGGGCTGAACTTTTATAAGAAGAGGACAGCTTCCTCATTTCTCTGTCCTTCAGCCTGAAACATACACCCTGCACACTTCACCCCTCAGGTGTGCACACGCTCCTGCCACACTGAGCAGGTGTCAGAACCTCACAAGAATAGCTTTCTCAAGAGATTTTAAACTAATTTATCTAGGTTCAATATATACAGCTATTTCTGAAATATTTTGAAATGTGCTCAGACTCTAGTCAGTAGTTATTAACCTTTTCTCGGTCACAAACGCCTCTAAGAATCTTTAAAAAAAAAAAAGCCATATTAGAATATTACTCAGGCATAAAGGAATGAGCTACGGATATATGCAGTGACATACACAAATCTCAAAAACATTATACTAATTTAGAGAGACTTTAAGTATATAGTATATAATTCCACTTACATGACATTCTAGAACAGGGAAAAGCAAATCTATGGTAAAAAAATTAGAATAGTGGTTGCCTTTGGGTGAGCAGTAAGTATTGACTAGGCAGAGGCATGGAGGAACTTTCTGCAGTGATGGTAATGTTCTTAATCTTTTTTTTCTTGGTGAGCAAGTTTGGCCCTGAGCTGACATCTGTGCTAGTCTTCCTCTATTTTGTATATGAGATGGCACCACAGCATGGCTTGATGAGCGGTGTACAGGTCTTGGCCCAAGATCCAAACCTGCGAGCCCCCTGCCACTGAAGTGGAGTGCGTGAACTTAACCACTATGCCACTGGGCCAGCACCTGTTCTTAATCTTGATAGCAGTTTGGATTGTGTGTGTTCCCGTTCAAATTCCTTGAATAGCATACTTAATTTTTGTGCATTTTATCTTATGTAAATTTCACTAAAAAACGATGCCATAAACAAACAGTGAACTCTAGTTAAAGGTTCATACACTGAAGTGTTTAGGGGTGATATGTATTGTATCTTCAATTTATTTTGAAATACATTTAAAAAACAAGATGGATTGAAAGATGGGTAGAGGATGGATGGGTGAATAGGTGTGTGATGAAGCAAATACTGCAAAATGTGAAGGGTAAAATTTAAGTGGAGGGACGTATGGGTGTTCATTGTACAGTACTGTCAAGCGTTCTACATGTTTGAAAATTTCCATAATAAAGTGTTGGAAAAGAAAAAGCTGTGGACCCTGCAATCCTCAGAAAAAGAAGTTTTGGACATAATTTCAGAGGCTTTTGGAGCTGCGGAAGCCCGCTGTGTACTCTGACTCTGCAGCTTTGAGGAGGCGCTGTGAGGTGCTTGTCACGAGATGCTTCTCTGTTCCTGTGTGTGGGAAACAGAATCGACTCCTTCCAGTCTACTTACAACTTTAGAATTCAGAGAATATTCTGTGAAAAATAGTCTGCTGACACACTTTCCTTATTTAGATTTTAAAACAATAGAAGCAGCAACAACAAAAAAATTAACCAAGCGGTGTCACCAGAGCAAGATAAGAACCTTTAAAAAAACGAAACCTGTGAAAAGAAAAAGCTGGAATTTTATTAACTGACAGTGGAAAATCTAGTTAAAATTGTATAATGTAAAAATCGTGAAAAATAGTTGGCCAGAAAAAAGTGAATGTTGTTTTGTGACCTCTTGAGATGACCCCAAACTTACCCTTTTTTTCAAAATCTAGGATAAGTAAAGCACCCAGCTATTTTTAGATGCGAATATGAAGTGCTAATAGAATCCCTGAGTGGAGCCTGGAGAACATGTGTGATTATGTCCAATTCCCGATAAACTGCTGCAAACTCATCTGACTAACTGCCCAGAAGTGAGCATCACCATGGCAAAAATGACCACATGCAAAATGAAAGCACAAGGAAGAAACTGGGAATAAATATTTGGAACTTATATCACAAAGGACTAATATCCCTAAAATATATTCCTAATTATTTATACACGTATGTATGTGTGTGTGTATTCCTTATACTCCTAATATATTAAGAGCTTTTTAAAATATTAGGAAAAAAAGCTAGATAGAAAAATGGACAAAAGATATCAATAGACAAATGATCCGTATACATAAAAAGATGTTACAATCATTCATACAGGAGAAATGGAGGGGCTGGCCCCGTGGCCGAGTGGTTAAGTTCGTGCGCTCTGCTTCGGTGGCCCAGGGTTTCTCCAGTTCAGATACCGGGCGTGGACATGGCACCGCTCATCTGGCCATGCTAAGGCAGTGTCCCACATAGCACAACCAGAAGCACTCACAACTAGAATATACAACTATGTACTGGGGGGCTTTGGGGAGAAGAAGAAGAAAAAAAGAGAAGATTGGCAACAGTTGTTAGCTCAGATGCCAATCTTAAAAAAAAAGAGAGAGAGAAATGGAAAATAAAATATGCCAAGTTACAATTTTTCGTCTATCATATTTGAACAAATCTAGAAGTTTGACAGGTACACTGTTGGCAAAGCTGTGGGGAAGAAGGCAATTTCATACATTACTAGTGAGAATGCAAAATTGTGTAACTGCTGTGGAGGAGAGTTTGGCAATGCCTGGGAAGATTACATTAGCGTTTACTTTTTGACCTAGAAATCTCTCTTCTAGGAATCTATCTCAAAGATAGATTCAAAAATTTGAAATGTCGTGTGCATAAGGCTATTTGTTATAGCACTATTTATAATTGGAAAAGATTGGAAACTACCCAAATGTCCACCCACAGAGGGCTAATTGAATAAACTATAGTACATCCATACAAATGAAATACTATGGAGTTTTCAAAAAGAAAGATGAAATATCTATACAAACAGGGGCATAGCCGCAATAGGCAAAAGGTGGAAGCAACCCAAGTGTCCACCAATGGATGAACAGATAAACAACATGTGGTATATACATACAATGGAATATTATTCAGCCCTAAAAAAGAAGAAAATTCTGGCATATGCTACAACATGAATGAAGCTTGAGGACATTATGCTAAGTGAAGCAAGCCAGTCCCAAAAGGACAAATACCATGGCATCGTCAATGGCTGTGATGTCCAAAAAAAGACAACCAGTCATTATGTGAATCTTGATGGAACCACATGACACCATGTACTACGGTGACCTCCATGTACTATGGAGTCATAAAAAGAATCAAAGCTGTATACAATTAAGCCACTAGATACATTACCAGATTAAAAGAAGTACAGGAAAACTTAAATTACATCACAAGGGTGCAATCAACAAAATCCAGAAAATGTGAAACTATAGCACCAACTGTCCAGCATCTTCAATAAATTGCAAGGGAGAAAAAGAGAGATGGAAAGATATCTATAGATTAAAAAAAGACAAGAGATTTATCAACCAAATGCAACAAATGGACCTTGTTTGGATCCTAGTTGAAACAAACTAAAAAAAATTAAGAGGAAATCTGGGAAATTTGAACAAAATGAATATGCGATGATATTAAGGACGTCTTGTAAGTGATTTTAGAAAATATTTGAGAAAATGATGGTATCATCTTTTTGAGTCATTATCATTTAGAGATACATACTGAAATCTTTAGAAATGAAATGACACAATGTCTGAGATTTGCTTCAAAATAATCCATTGTTAGTGGTCGTGAGGAAGTGGTAGGAATAAAGGGGAATAAGCTTGGCCACACATAGATCATTTTTCAAGCTGAGTGTTAGTACATAGTAGTGCATTGTGGAACTTCTTATTTTCTCTACTTTCGGGTATGTTTGTAATTTTCCATAATAAAAAGGAAAAAAAATCAAGAAATAAAATTTACCGTAACATGTTGAGAAGAGTGTTTCTCAACCATCAGCTCGACATCTGGAAAGGGAATAGCCATGCTCCTGTCTTTAGTAGATGTCCTCACATGCACAACGCGGCTCCCGGATTGTAGGACAGGCACGACATCCGGCAGCTCCCAGATCGCCACAAGGCAAACGTCATCTTCCTTACCCTGCAATAGAAAGCCAGTGAGTACATGAAAAATTCAATCAGTTATTTTATTCTGAGCTATTTTAAAGACAAAGAAAAACAGAGCATACAGTGATGTACCTACCACCCAGCTTTATCAAATCCTAAGTCCCATCTCCCCAGCCGTATTATGATTCCTCTTTCTTCTTCCCTCTCCAGAGGTAACAGGTGACCTGAATATGCTGTTAGCTATGAAAGTTTTCATATGTCCACATAAACTTATACATATATACTACATATACATATATTACATTTTATACATTCATATATACAAGTACATATATATATAAAGATATTACCTTCAGGCTTTTAACCTTTTAATAAATATTGTCAAACTCTATGGATTCTTCTTCTACTTCCTTGTTTCACTTAATATTACATTTTTGAGATGTATACAAGTTATTTACCTGGAGCTCTAGTTCATTTATTTTTATTTTTTTTATTTATTTATTTATTTATTGTAAGGAAGATTAGCCCTGAGCTAACATCTGCCAATCCTCCTCTTTTTTTCTGAGGAAGACTGGCCCTGAGCTAACATCCGTGCCCATCTTCCTCTACTTTATATGTGGGACGCCTACCACAGCATGGCTTGCCAAGTGGTGCCATGCCTGCACCCGGGATCCAAACTGGTAAACCCCAGGCCGCCGAAGTGGAACATGTGCAGTTAACCACTGTGCCAACGGGCCGGCCCAAGTTCATTTATTTTTAACAGCTTTATAGTATTGTACGAATATACTACAATCTACTTATCTATTCTCCTAGTGATGGATGTTCAGGTTGTTGCCAATTTTCCACTGTTTGTTTTTGTGGCCAGGTGTCGTAGTTTTTAGAGCATATGCCTGAAGTAGAATTACCAAATTGTAAGAGATGCGCATTATCAGCTTTACCAGGTATTGCCAAATGGCCAGAGTAGTGTTAGTATTTCCATTCCCACCAGGAGTAGATAAGAGTTCTCCTTTCTTCACGTTCTTGCCAACACTTGGTTTTACTTGATTAAAAAGATTTTTTTTGCTTATCCGATGGGTTTGAAATAGGACATTTAAAACTTAATTTAGGATTTATTAATTATATTAATCACATTGTCCTGATTTAGTGAGTTGAGCATTTTTTCATATGTTTGTGAGCCATCTGGGTTTCCTTACCTGTCCTTTGTCAATTTTCCTCTTGGGCTGTTTGTTTTTCTTCCAGATTTGTGGATTCCTTTAGCTATTCTGGTTTCTAATCCTTTCTCAGTTACCTGGGGTACAGTAGTCTTTTCATAGTCTGTGACTTCTCTTTTCAATTTGTTCTTAAGACAAGTGTTTATTTTTAATTTGAATATAGTAAAGATATCTTTTTGATATCCTATCTGTGAATATGGTATATCTCTCCATATTTTCAGGTTATTTTTTTATATTCTTTAAAAATTTTTTCACAAAACTCTTGCATAGTTTTTGTTGAATTTATTTTAGGTACCTTATACTTTTGTTGCTATTGTAATATAATAATTTATTCTGTTTTCTAATTGGTTATTATTGATGAGAGGCTGTTAATTCTTGAATTTTGAATTTTGGTTTGGGAATAAAAGCCAAATTCTTAAGGTTGGTTATTTTGCTAGCAGAGCAGAGATCTGTTAGCTTAAAGCAGCTGTGATAAAGTGGAGAGAATATTGGTCTTGCGTGCAGACAACAGATTTCTAGTCTTAGTTCTAGTGAGAGCTTGGGCATAGTACATATCTTCTTTGGACCTTATTTTCCTTATTTGTAAAGTGAGGACTTTGGCTAGTTGAGGGATAAAAGTCCTTCCATTTTGGGGCTGGCCCCGTGGCCGAGTGGTTAAGTTCGCGCGCTCCGCTGCAGGCAGCCCAGTGTTTCATTGGTTCGAATCCTGGGCGCGGACATGGCACTGCTCATCAAACCACGCTGGGGCGGCGTCCCACATGCCACAGCTAGAAGAACCCACAACAAAGAATATACAACTATGTACCGGGGGGCTTTGGGGAGAAAAAGGAAAAAATAAAATCTTTAAAAAAAAAAAAGTCCTTCCATTTTTTAAAGCTTGTGTTTGCAGATGATGTAAGATCTCTGTTATCTCATATCTATGTTAATCTAAAAGTATAGACCCGTGGTCCTCCTACCCACTAGTTGATTCTTTGGTTAGAGTTTGTGCCGTTGTGGGACAGAGGGCATCTCAGCAATGTGCCGACAGTGATCAGATAACAGATCGAGTCCCAGCTAAGGCAGATTCATGTGCCGCCTTGTTCTTATGAGTTGGCTACAGTGGTTTGAATAGGTTTAGCTGGTTTCAATTGAACCACTTAAGACACTGGCTCTCAGACTTGCCAAATTCTTGGAGTAAAATTTAAAACAGAATTTTGGAATATCGACTTAGATTTACTAACATTTAATTTTACCAAGAGAGGACATGGGGAGAGAAGGGGACTGGAAACTCTCCCATCGCTTTGTGAAAAGAAAGGCCGTATTTCAACACAAAAAAGGAGGAAAGGTAGAATCTTAAAATTTAAAAAGTAAAATTAGCTTTATGAAAAATTACCCTTCTTTTCTTCATTTCATCCCTAAGTGGTAAAACCCTTGATCTCAGAGTGGAATTGGCAGATAGGCCCTTAAGAATTGGTGCCTTAGGAAAACAGCAGTTGTCATAACGCTGAGAGCATGGATCACGTTCATGGCTTCGTAAAGACAGATCGTGTGCTTTCATGAATAGGGCCATATTTGTAGACCCGTGAAGTGATGTGGACAGAAGGAAAGCAAATAAAGAGAAGTAAGCGGGCCTATTAGCATTTGAACTATTTTTCGGTTAATTAATCAAAATCTCTGAACTCCCACAGTGCTTTGTTCATAATGTTAGCACAATGATCTCTCACCAACCTATGGTTTTCACCAACAAGGGTTTGGGCGGTGGGGGGAGGGCGGAGGGTCAAATTTATCAAAAATTTTATGTAGGCAGAATGCAATTCTACCTCCTTAAATCTGAGGTCATGAAAAATGTTATTGTTTCCTTCTCTCGTGGCCTATGAAGTTGTCTTCACAGGCCAGTCAGTTTATAATCTGCCCTCCCACTACACGGCTGGCAGACCATGCCCAGGAGAGCTGGTCCATTGCTGATCTGTGAGAAGACCAGGCAGTTGCACAAGCATTTTTCTGAGACTTGAGAAAATAAAGCCAAGAATATAAGTGCAAGAGAGACATTACATTTCAAGCCATTAAGGACTGGTTTGAAGACATTAAAAAGAAGTACATGAAACTTATGTGGACTCTGCATTAGCTCGTAATGCATTAGCAATGGTGCCTGAATAAGTGAGTGTGACTACTGAAGCACTTTCTGTTTGTTTTTCGGTGCACCTGGAGTCTGGGGAGATAGCGGTTTGGTACATCTTTCCTCCTTTCCTTGGCAACTCCAACTCTAGGAAGGAACCACCTTCCTGCCCCCAGCAGTTTCTGGGGGCAAGCAGGGAAATGGGGTTTGGGGTTTGGGGAAAGAAAGTTATTATGGATCTTATTCCTCTTTCGGCTGAGCAAAAGCCTGGGGACCAGGGTGGGAGAGAGTCCAAAGTTGAGATTTGCACGTGGTGGTTCATCTGCAAATACGCTTAAATCCCCAGAGGTAATGGTGGAGGGGACAATGTGAGGCTTGACATGTGCCTGGTGCTCCTTGCCTCCAAGGAGTTGAGGAGTAACTGAACAGGTGGACTAAGCCTTCTGTACTTTTGAAATTGGGAGAGTGAGGAGAGAATGGGCAGCAGAGACATTTACCCTTGGTGGCTCCACATGAACTGCTGTGGGGACAGCTAAACCACCAGCTCTCAGGAAGAACATGGCTATGCATCCCACCCTTTTAGGATTGCCACCTCTTGTGTTTTTCTAGTAACCAAGCTCCGGGGAGCAGAAAAAGAAATATAGCTCAGGGGGCCTAGCATCCAGAAAAAAGAACAGACAGAACAGCAGAACAGATCCCAGACTAACTAGAACTGATGGGAAGTGTGATAACTTGAGCAAATCTGCAGAGTACTCAGGGAAGTTCAAGACAGAGACAAAAACAAAACATTATCTTCAAATTTAAGAATTTAGTTGATGAGCTGAAGGAGAATCAGTTCCTGTTTGAGACTTGAACTAATAGCCTAGAAGAAGAGAAAATATTTCAAAACAGTCGACAAAACTAAAAAGAATTAGACAACATAAAGAAAAATATAAGAGATTTGGGTTCAGAAGACTCAATATACAAATAGTATGGCTTCCTGAATTAGAAAGAGAAACAGATACAGAAGAAACACCTAATAAACAAAAGATAATACAAATTACTCCTGAGCTGGAAGAAATACCTAGGACTGCAGATTGCAAAGTCTCCTGTGGAATTGATGAGAAAAGATATACAAATAGGCGTAATGTAAAACTTTAAACTTTACGGACAAAGATAATGTCTTGTAAGTTTGCAGAGAGAAAGAATAGGTTACCTATAAAGGAAAAAGAACCGGACCAGCAGTTGCTCATTGCCAACGTCATCACTTCATCATCTCTGACTTGAGTGACATATAGACTTCTGATTAAAAAGTCCTGTAACTCAAGAATGCCAAAATATTTCCCAAGAGTCGGTACCAATTTACACCAACATTAGCAGTGTATTAACACTCCTATTATTCTACAGCCTTGCTAAAACTTTATTATCAGACATTTTTTAAATCAATCTATTGGGTGTACTATATCTGTTGTAATTCTAATTTGAATTTCTCGGAGTACTAATAAAGTTTAGCAACTTTTCACATGTTTTTTGGCCATTTGGGTTTTCTGTTTTATGAAGTGCCTGTTTTAATTTTTCTGTTGAAGTGTTTACCTTATTTATTATCTAAAAACTTTGGATACTAATCCAGTTAGTTATTATATATTGCAAACATCTTCTTTAGCTCTACTCTTGTCTTGTTATTAGTTTAGTGTAATCAAATATATCCATCTTTTTCATTATAATTAGTGAATTTTGAGTCTTAAGAGATTTCTTTATCACGAGTTCATAAACTGTCTCCTATATTAATTGCTAAAAACTGTATTGTTTTGTCTTTTAATTAAAGTGTTGAAGTCATTAATCCACAAAGAATAGTTTTCGATAGGAGATCAAAAGTTAGAGTTTTTTTCCATATGACTGTGTAGTTCTCCAAATCTATTTGCTAGAAAGAATATTCTTGCCACACAAATCTGCTATGCCACTTCTATTGTGTTTGGACCTGTTTTTATTCTATGGCTCCCTATGCCCAAACCTCGTTGTCTCGTTTCCTCATGGGCTTAATTATTCTGACTCCGGCTGAGACAAAGTCGCCTTCCTTCAGGATGGATTTGTATGTGTTTTTGCAGGGTGCCTCGTGGAACTTCCAGTTTGGGACCACCTTAAACCAAGTTCATGGTTGAGATTTCCTTGACCACCTCAGCACTGCCAATCTAGGTTGCAAATGCATGTGAGCTCCTCCCTGCAGTCACAGCTTCTCAGGGACAGGGTTTTGTCTCGTCTTGTTTTGCTTTCGTCTTCCCCTTGCTTCCTCCCTGCGTGGGATAGTGTGCCCCTGCTTCCCTTGGCAGCCTTTCCTGCATTGCTCCCCGGAGACTGGCTTCTTTCTTCCTGGTTCACCCTTAGCTTGATGTGGTAAATTTTGGGTCCCAGCATATCGTGGACATGGTAGTAACCTCCTTGCCTTAGACGGGTCCTGGGCCTTGACTTCTTTGCCCCTTCTGACCTGATGAGTCTCCAAAATTGAACCCAGTTTGCTTAGGAAAACGCCCTCAGGACAAAAGCAACAGTGGCGTTTTGGTTCTTAATTTACCTCTCTCATTCTCCATTTGCCCTCAAATTTTTGTCTGCTATTTGCTAACTGCGATGTCAACTCTTTAATGCTAATTAGGAGACTTAGAAAATATTTCAGCCAGAACTTTTAGTTGTTTTCAGTGGAGGGTTGGTCTGAGTAGTCTAGTTCACGAACACCTTATTATTCATATCTAGATATCAAGTATCTAGCACATTTGGAGTACACAAAATGTTTCTTGAATTGTGCTGAATTTAGCTGGAAACCAGTGGAAAGAGAAATCTTCCCTGACTCCCAGATTAGGCCGGCCACCACCCACCATCACAAGCTTCTATGGCACCTTGTGCAGCACTCATAACACCCGGAATTGGTGGATCAGTACCAGTCCTGCTTATTAAATTGTAAGTCCCTTGGTGAAAAGGAAGATATCTTTCTGGTCCATGGTAAACTTTTGGCAAATGCTCACTGAAAAAAAATGAGTGAATGAAAGTATTCTAGAGAATAATTATGTAAATAAAACCATATTTTATTTTAACAAGGCAAATAATAATAAGTAATAAGTAAATAATAATATGTTAATAATAATAAAGTAAGTGTGCTTTCAACATTATCCTTGTTGTAAAGTTCCCCCCTCTGACATTAATAAAAATTCCCTAAACACCCCATACATTTACTGTTGTATACCTTACCAGAGTTTTCCTGTATTTCTTTATTCTCTCAATCCTTAATGAACACCTACTCTGGACAGAGCAAGAATACAAATATGCATGCGAGGTTTTCAGTGCTCATTAAGTTTAATCTATGGATTCTGGGGACAGGGAGAACCAGAATAATCAATCAAAACTCCACAGTTAAACTAAAACAGTTTTCTTGTAGGAACAGCACCATACTGCTTTTTGCAAATCTTATAAAAGGAGCGTTTGTAACAACAGACCTTATATGTTAGGAAGGGCATGTAGATGGTCAATTGCAGTAACTTGAAGTGAAATCAACACCCTGCTGTGTTTTAGAGTGCATTACCAAGAAATTCCTTTCTCCAGTGCCCTTTAGGATTCCTCGGACAACATGGAAAGGACATATTGAATCAGGGAAGTTTTTCACTCCTTTTTTCCAACAGTAAGGCATTCAGTCATCTTAATCAATGCTGGTACTTCATGATTACCACTCTGATTTGAGACTTTTTTTTTCCTGATCTTAGCTTTCAGAAGAGAATTAATAAAGGCAATGAGTCCTTGAGTTCTCGGCAGGGAGAGATCCACTCAATAGCCAGGATAAATGATCTAGCTTGCATTTTGAATATGAAGAAGGTATTAGCATTCTTAGCTGGGAATAGACTCCAGAAAAAAGAAATTAGCCTACCTCAATCCTCCCAAAACAGCTCTGAGCAGATTGCATCATTAACCTTAGGTAAACAAAGCAATTTTGATGACAAACTGAGAAAGTGACTTGAGCATCCCTGAACATGTTATGGGTGATAAGGGACAGAGAGGAGTCATGGCTCCCTTTCACAGTGCCTGCTGGGGAGCAGCTCTGCCAGGGAATTACCCCCAGATGAGGGTATAAGCAATGTCGGAGGTGGCAGCTGTGTGTACGTTTAACCTTTCTGATACCTTCTTAGAGGATGCTGACTAATCCTCAGCCAACGCTGGATGAGTGGGATGCTGTGGCTGAGCAGCCACTGTTTCCTGCTCTTTGCTTGTACCTGGGCAAGGTGAATTAGGAGCACCCAGGAAGGGTGGCGGAGGACGGCTATCCTCAGCTGGCTGGCAGGAAGGGCGTTAAATGGGGATTATCCAGTGACTCAGTTGACTTTCCCGAGAAGAGCATGTAGGGTACAAGTATGAATGTGGGATTGCCAACCTGGAGCATTTTGATCTTCCCGTTGCGCTCCAGGGCGAGGATCAGATACTGATGCTTCTCCTGAGCTTTCAGGAAAACCAGGCGATGCAGCCAGTGCTCCTCCTCCTTCCAGTCCTTTCCTTCTGGCAACACTTTCATCTCTTGCCCGCTGCCGAAGTCCCAGATTTTAACTGTTCCTGAGCACACAGAGAAAAGACTGTGTGGTAAAAATAACGTGTGGAAGGCTTGGCTTTTATCTCAGAGAAAATGGATCTAATTGAAAGCTTGCTGCCGACAAATTATCTTCTATTTATTTCCTCCTAAGACTGATGTGTGAGTCTCGCTGGCCTTGCTGTGCACGTGTATTTCTGTGTGCCTTGATTTGTCACAGGCTGATGCAAAAGCACAGGACCAGGCAATGACTGCACTCTTGTGACAGTTTTCTTTGAAACTCTCAGACTCCTGTCTGAGCTTTCTGTCTTAAGTGAATCTTTTCTGCCTTTAGTCTCCCAATGCTTTAGTTTGCTAAATACCCCTCGATTTCTGTCTATCGAATATTGTGCCACAATTATTATTAATAGTAAAAGATCATTCCAATAATGTCACATTTCCTAAGGTGCTGCATGTTTTAGGCCGTTAGCTCTCACTGGGTCATGAAAGGTGTAAGGGAATCCTGGCAGGTAGAAACCATCAAGCTTTGAGTTGTTTTGTTGGCTACATGGGAAGGAAATGCAAAAGGAGTATCGAGTTTCTCCCTACATTTGACATAATACTTTCTTTATGGTTAACTTTGTTTGTTTGATTTAGGGGATCTTGATGAAAGGGCCAGGAGGGGTGCTAATCTAGGTAGACGCTGAATGCCTCTTTCTACGTCCTTACTCGGTGTAGAGAATTATCTTCAAACACGGGTTTTTTCCACAGTCACCTCAGGTTTAGGATCCAGTGGACTGCCCCTCGCTGCACTTTCGTCCTCTCCCAAAACTCAGCTCTGCCCTCCTGCTTCTATCCCAGCTCTAATGCTGCTGGACATTCAGAATGTGTTCACTGCGCTGTTTTCCTCCCTTATGCCAGAGTTCTCTTCATCAGAAATACTCATGACCCCCATCATTTGTTTGTTTGTTCACTAAGAACATCATTTAACATCGCTTAAACCCTCCCTATTTACCCAGCACTGTGGTAGGAGCCGGGGATGGAAGGTGAACAGGCGTAGTTCCTGCCCTCAAGGATGTTATCGTCTTGTAGGAAAATAGTCACACAAACAATTAAAAGAAACAATCATGCTCCCATTCATTCCTGGGTACGGGGACCATAGTCTCATGGCCCAGATTTCCTGCTCCCTCGGGACATTGGCGGTCAGATTTAGTGGGGCAGAGGGCAGGGAAAGGTACTGCTGAGCTCTTTCTAGGTGGTGGGTGGCTGGGAGTGAGAGGGACTGCTGGCTTGTGGGCGGAGCTGCTCTGGGAGTAACAGACTCTTACTTTCTGTGGTGTCCTAGACCCAGGATCTTTGTCAATTAACATACGTGTCTCTGGAGAGGACAAACTGTCAATATTTAAAAGAATTCTAGACTTTAGCACTAACAAAATGAAATATGACTTGCTTGCATGAAAATAATACTATCTCAGTGATATATAAGAATTGCTTAACACTTATGCCTGATCATGGTTGTGCACGTTGCTCAGACTTTCTATTATAACTAACCGTCTCATGTTTGCAGCGTGTGCTTACAGAGCAGGAGGACTGCTTCTCAGGAGCTGTCCCACGTGAAGAGTGGTTGCAGTATTCACACCCCGTCAACTCAGTATTCATGAGTTTACTTCACGTGTATTATTATCTGCTCACACTTTAAAAATCAGACTTCCACATCAGGATGTTCACTTAATCCATTAATTGGCTCCCAAGCCAGAATATATTTGGTCAATACATCCCTAGATTAAATATATTCTGAGTAGTGCATGTAGTTGGTCATAGTGTCTAGATAAAGCAATTCTTTCATGGCAGTTCAAAGTGAGGTGAAAGGTGAGGCAGGCCACAGCTCTCTAGTTCCAGGAAGTTCTATGCAGCATCCACAGCTCGAGGAGCATCAAATGACACAGCATAGCCTGAGCCTGACAGCCTCTCAAGTGTGATATGGCACATGCCCTCAAGGACCTTAGGCAAATCCACCATGGAATTCTAGGTGTTATATAACAAAGTTGGCTGGATGTTTGTCTGGTCCCCAAATCTACTGTCAGTAAAAATATTATCAGCAAGCACTGTATCTAATGTCTATCCCTTAGCTGATGGTACCCAAAAGTAGAAGGACAGAACGAGTCAGTGCGACATAGATGAGTTCCACCAAAGATGGAATGAGATGGTTTGTGTGGAAGACTTTTGCAACCTGTAGAACAACTATGTAAGTGTAATGTCAGGTATTGATTGTTTTGAACATCAACATCAGGACACTAACGCCCCTCAGAGCAGAGGCCCTCACCATTCAGTCAGGCACTGCCGTCTCATGCATGCTCACATATTCCAGCCTGATCCGCGCTCTCCCACTAACCCAAACAACTAATGAGTTCCTAGCATGACTTCTCAGGACACTAAAGCTGGGAGGCCATATTCGGGATGTTCATCTGACCATTATATGCTCCTGTGGCAAAAAGAAATCCAGTCTCATCAATAGCTGCAGAAGTCAGTTCAACGTTGAATCCATGAGGGTCTAAAATCTGGTATATTTGGAGGCCAGTCTCAAGTTCCCATACCTGTAGGAAAGGACAAAAAAAGTCAAATAACCCATATGCCCTTCCGTTTTTGTAAAAGTTTTACCGTATTCAAAACAGCCTCAAAATTGGTACAATGCACATCTAACACTTCTTGCAACAATCTGCTGTGAATTTTGATTTGAGCAAAGAAAGTTCTAAAAGAAGCGGTTCTTTAGATTCTGAGATTCTAAGATTCTGAGATTCTAAGAATCTCATAGTTCCTGCACTGTCCTGGAGTGTGTCAGTTGCATATGTGGGTGGCTGAGACAAGCAGTGACTCTATTCCAGGCAGACCCTGGCTATGGAGGAAGTAGTCAATGGCTGCTGTGAGCATGAAGCAAGATTGGCAGCAAGACAGAAATGTAACAATTATAAGTCCAGTAGTCAAAAAATCAAACTGGATTTATTTCCTCTGGACACTCATCCAAATTAGCCAGGAGTCATGGGCCAGAATCTCTGGTTAAAAGCATGGAATCCGAGAGAACCCTGAGGAAGGAGCTCCCTGACCTTTCCAAGGAATGTTCTGATTAGGGAGAGAGAGAGAGAGAGAGAGAGAGAGAGAAAGAGGGGCTGAGATTTCAGAGAAGGCTGTCCGTGTAGTCAGGCTGGGTGTAGTCAGAAAATCCAGAAACTTGTCCAGACTCCTCATTGTCTCTCTTTGGAAACACAGGAGAGGCTTTAGACCTGGATTCCTTGGGTCTGAATCTCTCCTGCTTCGTGGCTCTGCTATGTTCACATGTCAATTAGATTGCCAGTGAGTAGTAACACTGAGCTGGCAACACCGAATGGTTGCATTCAAGGCATGTGCGGATGGGGGCCGCGTAAGCAAAGGGCCAGGGATGAGAAGGTGCCTTGTTCCTCCAGGGAGCTGAAAAAAGTGATTGTAGCTAAAGTGAAAGAGGGAGAGGGAAGAGATGGAGCTGCTGAAACAGTGGGAGGCCATAACAAAGGGCTACCCATGGGGAGGTGAGAGAGCCTAGACCTGAATGAAGCCAGTGTGGCCTAGAGCCTGTGCTTTTCAGCTCTGTGTCCCCCTGGGTATAGACAGGTCCTTAAGGGAGAAGAAGAATGGGTGTCACTACATGAATAAGTCTCAGAGGTCTCCCGTTTCCAGGCCTGAAGTAAGAAGCCTCTCCAACCAAACAAGTATGGAAACTCACCTCTTCCCCCCAATAGGGGGGACATTTTCCCCTTAAGATGTCAGTATTGTGTGAAAGCAGGACAGGTTTTAATTTTAGTTTCCCTCACTTATTCTGTAGGCATTGTCAGAAATAAGTGATAACTCAGTGAGCTCAGGAGATTTGGGTCTGAGAAAATCTCCAGCAGATGAGCACAGAAGGTCAAAGATTGAGAGGGGATTTGAAGGGTCTCCAGAGGAATGCTCTCTCGTGCTCCACGTCTCCTATGGGAGAGCATGCGTGAAATTAAAGGGAACACTTGAAGCAAACACCTCGAGCCATCCCTGCTAGATGATTTCTGTGGTCGTAATTACAGATGCAGTTGGGATGGCCAGGCACCCTGGCTTCTAGGCAACACAGTGTTGATAGGGCCAGAGGAAGGCAGAGGAAAGGACCTGGATGTTCAGATCAGACAAACCTGCCTTCATATCGCAGCCCTCATGTTTAACCATCATACGACCTGGTGTGAGCTGCTTGACCTCCCTGAGTCCTAGTTTCCTCATCTTTAAAATGGAGCTCTATACATCCACAGAGAACTATTGTGAGGATTAAATAAGATGATTAATTTAGGGCAGTTGGTACATATCCCACACCTACAGGGGTTACAGTAAACAGCTACCAATTTTTTTCCCTTCCTTTTTAACATACCTTCCTCACATAACTCAGTTAAATATACATATATACAGTAATAAGCTGCATAACAACGCAATTTGGTCAGTGCTGGTTTTGGTCAATGCTGGACCGCATAAACAGTGGTGGTCCCATAAGATTAGTATCATATAGCCTAGGTGTGTAGTATGCTGTACCATCCAGGTTTGTATAAGTGCACCCTGTGACGTTCACACAATGACGAAATCGCCTAATGATGCAGTTCTCTGAAAGTCACACGTGACGAGATATATATTATATATATTTTATATATATACCAGTGATTTTTATATATATACTAGTTCTCTCTCCTTGATATATTTGCTTTAAAATTCCTATTTTGATAGTAAAAACTTGCTTCATTTATTTAATTGAGCATGCAGCTTAAGAGCAAGCAGTCTGAGATGGCTTAAATTATTGGTTTTCATGTGTTCATGAAAGCTTAAAAATGGCTCTAATGTAGGGTCTCATCATATGTGCCACTACATTTACTTAATCACTCAAAGACTTACCTGTAAGAAGAGAAAATTCTATCTGCTTTGCCTTTTTCTTTCTGAAGAGCCGATATATACTCACCTTAATTATGGATTCAGAGCAGATAGTTAGCACTTGGTGAAAATATTTGTTGTAAAGCATGACATTGATTTCTCGTTCGTGAGTGTGAGGAATCTGTTTTGTGTCTTGTATCATCCTAGTCAAAGGATACATGTCCACTACACTAGATCCTGGAACAGAAATAAGAATCTCATAGCTAAACAATATCAGAAGTTTGGAAACAGCCAATCAGTGGGATTAGTAATATCAAGGCCTAGCAATCTAAGGAGGTGAAAACACACTCATTTACTCTAGAACATTTTTCATAAATAAAGCAAATGTGATTCAGCCAGAAAAATGCCTTCATATTGGGCTTCATTAATTTTCAAGTGCAGACGGTTTGGACTTCATTGATATCCTCTCTCAGTAACCCCTATTTCCCTGTTTTTTATGGTCTACTTTTTTCCCTCCTGCCTGCTGCACGCCTCTCCATCTGGTGCACAGTAATGACGGTGACGGTCAGCCTTCTGCTGAAGGAAAGCTTCCTTAAGTGATTGGAACGTATTGTTAGAGAACCCTTTTCAACCAACGGATGATGAAGCACTCTGTAAACACGGTCTTATTAAATGTAAAGAATGAGAATGACTGGAAGCCAGTGCTTGCAGCATCGATAGTAAATAAGATTAATTTCCCAATCACCATAGTGAAGTAGACGGAGAGCTGGTACTCCTTACTTGTATTTTTCTAAAGGTGTTTGGTTTTACAATAATATTATAAACTCCAAGTATGGTTGACCTCTCAAAATCAACTAACTATGTATTCTGTTTTAGCGTAATGTCTAGAAACATAAATAAGAATCTCAAAGCATTTCATGGCTCAAACAAAAAGAAACTTCTTTCTTATTATATTGACGTGGAAATTAAGTTACCCAAGGCTGACCCTTTGCATTGAGCTTCTCAAGTCTCTCCAAAGAAATCTCAGCTTTAGGAAAAGTTTCAGCAGGAGTTACTAACCACTTTCCTAAGGTGTGTGCATTTAAAATAACATCCGCTCGTGTAAAGCGGGACTGAAGGGCTATTCTGGTGATATTTCCCAATTCAAGCACCTCAATATGGAAATATCAGAGCAGTGTGGTCGCCAGATAATCAGACAACTCTTGGAGCTTCTTGGGCGACTCTTGAGCACTGTACTGACGGTAACTGACTTCATCCAGGACTGACATCAACAAAGCGAGACACACTTATGGACAAATGGCCATCCTCTACATTTTTGGCTAGTTATACCGCTACCACGGAAAGCATGTAGTACAGAGAACGAATATGGATTCAGGAGTCAGAAGCTTCGGGACTGAATCCCAGCTCTATGTTTCAACCTTGTGTCCTTCTACTAGTCAGTTGAACTGTTTGATACTCAGTTTTGTCATTTCTAAAATAGGATAAACAATAATTCCTACCTCACACGGTGGTTGTGCAGATCAAATGAAATTAAGTACATGGAAGCATTTTGTAAAAGAACTATACAAATGGTAGTTGTCTTAATTGAGTGATAATAACTCCAACAGTGACAGTAACAACAGCATATGCGACACAGCCCTTCCAGAACGTGGTGCTGCTGTCACTGCAGTCTGGATTGCTATGTGTGACTGCTTCGTTTGAATCCAAGCATGATGTACAATCTGAGAGAGAAGCTTCATGGAATTCTAATGTCAGGATGACAGTTGCAGTCAACGCATTCAATTTTAGCTTTCAGTGATTAAGCAATATGCAGAGCTCTATATTTTTGTAAGCAAAGTACTATCAGAATTACATAAAAATTGGGAAGAAACTTTGATTTTCTTTTTTTTTTTGTCTTCTTACTTGAGTCCTTAGTTATTCTGATGATAAATGGGATGGAAATTCTGAGCCCAGTAATCAAGCATGCAAATTGGGGCACTAAGGGAGAAAATTTGCTTGCAGCCACCGGCATGTTATTTTTAGAGGAGGTAATACAGAGGAGCATGCCTACAACTAGAATTAAGTTCTGTTTGACAAGGTGGAAGATTACCTATCAAGCATGATGTACTAGTTCACTCCTAATCCAGAAAAACAACCCAAACTTACAGATAATTATATTCTCTACCAGCAGAGATAGCACCAACCTCCTCCCTGCCCTAATGAATCCCACAGGAGCACAGAGCAGGCCGTCAGAGGGAAAATGCTTAGGGAATGCATTTTGGGTTGGTGTTCCAGAAGGAAGTACTGTTAATATGGTTCATTTTCTTCCCAAGCCTGAGGCTGTGCATATGGACAATGTTAAACCTAAATGCCTAGGAGAGTCTTTTGTCTCTTTAGTAAGCTTGTGTTTCCAAGAGGCAATGAGAAAAGGAGGCACCAAATCCTTTGGCATCAGCACTGGGGATCTGTCTGCCATCTGAGTCTCTATCCTCTCTCTTTACTGTTCTTCGTCTAGAAGCAAAGGCAGGTGGGAGGGTCAGCACCGTCCTTCTTTCTTTTTTTTTCTTTTGGTGAGGAAGATTGTCACTGAGCTAACATCGTGCCAATCTTTCTCTATTTTGTATTTGGGATGCCACCACAGCATGGCTTGATGAGTGGTGCGTGGATGCACCCTGGAGATCCAAACTTGTGAACCCTGGGTGGCCAAAGTGGAGTGTGCAAACTTAACTACTATGCCACCAGGCCAGTCCCAGCACCCTTCTTCCTGAGTAACTATCTCATTACCAGAGTGCATGGGGCCAAATTGCCTTGATGAATAGAAGGGACCTTGACTCAGCATGCTGATGCAGCCACTCTAAGATGAAGCATATTCCTGCTCCCAGGAGTCAAAACACAGCTGGATTGGCTGCCTATGTAGCAACAGGTTACATCCCACTTCTCTGCTTAAGCCATACCATGTCTTCCTAGATCCAAGAACTGAGAGCACTGACCTGGTCTTTTCAGAGCAGCACAGCAACACATTTCATCCACCCAGCCATGGAACGATAGGAAGGAGGGGAATCGAATTAAATATATACTGTGATGAATTACAGTTTATAAATTCCCCTTCTAGTTTGTGTCAAATGCTAGTTTAAAAAAGGTTAAAAATTGGGGCTTGCCTGGTGGCTCAGTGGTTAAGTTCACGCATTCCACTTCGGCAGCCCAGGGTTTGCCGGTTTGGATCCTGGGTGTGGACCTACACACTGCTTAGCAAGCCATGCTGTGGCAGGCGTCCCACATATAAAGTGGAGGGAGATGGGCATGGATGTTAGCTCAGGACCAATCTTCCTCAGCAAAAAGAGAAGGATTGGCGGTGGATGTTAGCTCAGGGCTAATCTTCCTCAAAAAAAAAAAAAGGTTAAAAATCAAGATATGAGTTTTGGTTGCCACTAATTGGGTACACTTACCTGTAACAAGCATGCCGTGATTGGAATCAAATATCATGGAATAAATCTGCATGTCTCCTGGTCCTCCCTGGCTGTCGTGGAAGACTTGTAATAGTGACAGAGTCTGTATGTCCCACACCCTGAAAACCTGGGGAATAAGGAACATAGTTCACCACATTTACACTGTACCTTCCCTGCTCAAAGCTATTTATGGGAGGCATTTTCAGAGTCTGGAATATGCTCCCAGATACTCACAGCAAAGTATGATTTATATGATGAGCACACCTTTGCTAAACTCCAGTTTGGTTCTTGGTTCAATGATTGTTCATTAATATCAGAGGAAAATAGCAGCAGTGATTAAAAAGTTGCTTAAAGGAACTGGATTTTTCTATCATTACAGAAGGGAGGGGAAAGACAGTATTTATTATTCTTGAAGAATTTGGAGGAATAATAAAGACTGCTCATGACTTACAGTGCAATTGAAGCCACATTTCTCTTTACACGATGGTTTAGAAAACAGAAGACTATATTTCAGGGGGAGAGTTTCAAATTGCTTTCATGACTTATGAAGGTGGGAACACCTTTCTAAATGAGATTTCTAAGAGCTTCCCCTCTTCCTGCCCAGGGAAGAATTATGGAAAGCAGTTTTTATGGTGTAGATATGGAAAGTGTGTAGATATGTAGATGATGTAGATATAGAAAGAGTATAGGGAAATAGGGTACGAGAGCTCTGCTTTGAGGGAAAAAAGAGAACTATGTAATTACTCAAATAGAACTTAGGTTGATAGACGAGAATAGAAAGAACAATGAAGTTCAAATTCAGCAAAACTAGGTCAAGTTTACCCTTGTCACTTGAAATAACTGGTCTTAGTCTTCTTCATTATTCTCTTTTTTTAGCAAGTTGCAGTGTGATTGAATTTCAGAAATAAGTGTGATTTGATCAAGGATTACATTTCCTAGCGTGCGTCAGCCTTAATTAACATTTTCGTATTATAGTAGTTATTGTTAACCTATTAAATTGGAGTGTTTGTTGAATAAATGAGTGATCATTTTATGGAACTACATATAAAACTCTAATAAGGAGTTTTGTTAACAGAGAAACTGACTTCTAGCTTGAGACGCTTATATTGAGTTAACAGAGTTGAACGCTTCACTACCGCCAAGGCAGGTTGGTCCCTCTGTGTAGGAGATGCAGGGGTCTGAGTCACGTGATTTAGGGAACTGCTAAGGAGGCTTTGCGCAAACGTGCACCCTCTGTAGCCAGTGTTCCTCAGAACTTGTACAGTTGGAAGTCACTTCCTTTGTTCTAGTAAAAATGCAGATTTGGAGGGAGTAGCTAGAACACTGAGCCTAATCAGTCTTTTGTATCATAAACTCCGCTGGAGTTGGCTCAATTTTATTGCTTTGGCTGGGACGCGTTCACGGTTGGCAGTCTACGCATGTGTACGCACCCTGAGTTGTGGTTGGTGGAAAGAACAAGGGACGAGGCGAAAGAAGATTTGGGTTTCAGTTCTAGTCCATCGTTTAAATTCCTTGAGCTCGGTTTTGTCGTTTCTAGAACAAACACCAGCACCCTTCGCTTTGTGGAATTGATGTGAGTGTGTTTTGAAATCTGTGATGTTCTCTATAGAGTAACTCTGTTTCTTTTTTATTTCTCTTTTCAGTGTTCAGTTCTTTGGGTCTTTTGTATGTTTTTAAGGAAGCGATGATGGCTGGGCTGGCAGAAGGCACAAAGATCTTCCTCATTGTGCTGCCTCTCTCCTCTAGGCTTTCCTGCTGCCTTCTTCCCATGTGCCCTTTTTGTTACTGTCATAGCATCTGCTTCCTATTTCCAAAAGCCCCTTTCTCTTTCTGGTCTCACTGCAGTCACACCTACTCTTCCTATCATCTACAGCTAACTCATCCTCTGTCTTTAAATCTGTCATAAAGAGAATTAAAAAGCTAGACTTCAGGTCAGAATAGCACAATAAGTTTATGCCTTGATGTGCGTTTCTTCTCCAAACACAGATAAATAGTAGAGAAAATATGAAAACAAGAAAGCAAAAAGAAACAGGAAGTCTTCACAATAAGATATATATCTCTCTATAGATCTAAATAAGAGAGAGAAACAAAGCAATGCCTGGGCTGCAGCAGAGGCCTGGGCACTGGCTCTGCAGCGGGCACTGGCAGCAGAACAGCTCCTGTGGGGGAGGCAGGACCAAAAGCTCACTCACAGCTCCAGGGCAGAGCCCGGAGCAGCTCTCCCAGGTCAGAAAAAGGAGACTTTTCTCCTTTTCTGTTTTCATCTGGAGGTCTAGCTTTTTTTCTTATATGGGACTAGTGAGAGGGGAGGACACTGCCTTCCGACCAGGAGCTAAACCAAGGCAACCTCTGGCCCAGGGGCTAGACCTGTCAGTAGCCTGGGGCAAAGGGGCCATGTGGAGGAAAGTCATCGATGTGGAGGAGTGAGCATATGGACACACACACACACACATGTACACACAAAGTGAGAGAGAGAGGGGCCTGCTGGGTGGCGTAGTGGTTAAGTTTGTGCGCTCCACTTTGGCGGCCTGGGGTTTGCAGGTTAGGATCCTGGGCATGGACGTAGCCCTGCTCGTCAAGCCATGCTGTGGTGGCATCCCACATAAAATAGAAGAAGATTGGCATAGATGTTAGCTCAGGGCCAATCTTCCTCACACACACAAAGAAAGTGAGAGAGAGAGAGGTATAAATATTAAAAGGAAACTATAATTTTTACAAAAATGTAGAGAATGATATCTCTATAAACAAGTTGAAAAGGATTTCTTAAGCACAAAAAGCATGAGCCATAAAAGACTGATACATTTAACTAAATTAAAATTAAAAACCTCTGTTCAACCAAAGTAACAATCACAAAGCCACAAAAGATAGAAAAAACTCAAATGTTCACTGGCCAAGTTGGATGGCTCATATGTGGAGCATACACAACAGAATAGCACGCAGCAGTTAAAATAAAGGAACTTGAGCTATATGTAATAACACGGATAGATCTCAAAATACAGCGTTAAAGGGAAAAAAGGGAATTTCTGTAGGATTCATTCACTATATTCATAGAGAACATTGAAACATGCAAAATAAAACTATATATTGTTTAGGGACACTTAGATATGTACTAATGGTATAAAAACATGGTACTTGTTCAAAGTTAACAAAAACTCAGCAAAAATGTATCTCCTTTGGACTGCTTCCACCGGTCACCCCTTCAACTTTGATGCTCTTCCTCTAGATGCCCATGATACCTGTCTGCATTAGTAGCAATTAGCAATTGTAACATGGTGGCATACTCAGTGGCCTTCCCTACTGCACTGTAGCTTCCTTGAGGGAGGAACCATGTCTGATTTGGTTCCGTTTCCCTGTCTTCTGTATTCTCCTTGGTTTGCTTGGTTAGTTGGTTTTGGTCTATTTGCTTGCTTATTCCCCCCCTTGGTCCAGTAGGAATTTACCATGGTGCAGCACTGCATGGACATTCAACACTTTTGTTTTTTTGCTGAGGAAGATTCACCCTGAGCTAACATCTGTTGCCACTCTTTGTCTTTTTGTATGTGAGCTGCTGCCACAGCATAGCTACTGACAGACAAGTGCTGTAGGTCTGTGCCCAGGAACTGAACCCAGGCCACCGAAGCGGAGTATGCCAAACTTAACCACTAGGCCACTGGGGCTGGCCCCAATACTTTTTTTAATTGAATAGATCAATTAATAAATGGGATGGCTTCAGAAAACATAATTCATTTACTTTATATCTTCTTCTTGGTGCCGTTGGATTGATTCTAACTCCTAGCACCCCTGTGTACAGCAGAGTGGAACCCTGTCTGGTCTTTTTGCACCATCCTCTCCCCTTCCAGCACTGTGTCAGACAATGTTCGCTGCTATTCACAGGATTTGCATGGCCAACTTTTGTGGAAGTGGGCGCCCAGGTCCCTCTTCCTAGTCTGTCTTAGTCTGGAAGCTCCTCTGAAACCTGTCCACCATGGTGACCCTGCTGGATTTGAAATCCCAGTGGCATAACTTTCGGCATCACAGCAACAAGCAGCTGCCACAGTATGACCAACAGATGGATGGTGTGGTTCCCTGACTGGGAAATGAGTCCAGGCCACGTGGTGAGAGCACTGGATCTTACCCACTAGACCACTATGGCTGGCTACTTTATCCTTAGGTGCTCATAATGTATTAGTTACTTTGGAGGAAAAGAGAGCAGCGATATTAATTAGGCTCTCCCGAGTCCAGTCCTCTCTCACTCTCTGCTCCCAGGAGTTGACAGTGTGCCTGGGGTCAGTATTAGTGCTTCCAAGCTTGAGAGAAGAGAAGTGGCGCCAGGTCAGCCCTGAGGGGTTCTGGGAGGGCAGAAGACTTCAGACAGAGACTGAGTTCATGTAGAGAGAAAATCTGAGAGGACAGGCGCCTTCCACTAAAGAAGCCCCGGGGTGGCGGAATGGAGTGCTTATAAATTATGAATTAAATGTCGCATGCGTGTATAGAGAGCTGAAATTACAAGAAATACTCACCTTCTAGTAGCAGTATGAATAATAATGATTTCCAAAAAAATTGGGAATGGAGTTACGGACATGTTTTTTTTTTTACACTGGGAAAAATTCAACTACAGGCCGATTAAGCTTTGAGTATAAAATGGAAACTGAAGTTACTAATCCCAAAATATCCAAGAAAAGGACCATAGAAAGGTGTCTCCTGAAGCCTTTTGTGAGGAATAATTAATAAATAACGATGAAGTAGAAACATTTGAAAAAATCTGCATGTGTACATGCCAGGCGTGAGGATTGTTCTCATTCAACTGTGTTTCCTGGCTTTTCTTCTTGGAAACTGGATGCCAGTCAGTACTAGCCAAAGGTATTAATAAGGTGCCCTTTTTTTTCTTGATGTGTGTTTATTATAGAGTGACTATAGCAGAATATCTGATGTCTGGGAGTTGTTCGTAGCTACACAAAAAAGGAGTTATAAAAAGATGCAAAACTAACGTGACATACACAATTCGTTATGTATCAGATCGTTATGGAGCTCTGGGCTAGGTGCTACAGAAGCAAAAGACCAACAGAGACACGACCACTGTCCTTGGACAGGTCTCAGTCTGAGCCGGAGACTAGACAGAAGACAAACCATTACGAGGCATTGTAAGAA